TTTGTGATTTATTTGAAGTATGAGCAATAACAATTGGCACCTGCGAAATCTCTCAAGAGAAGGCGCTAATTCAATATCTAGGGATACCGTGACTTTCATATCAGTCAGAATAACCTATTATTTTACAGTGAAAGTGACGGAAAGAAAATGTCTAAACATCTCAGTTCCACCATTTTGGAAAATGCATAGCGAGAACTAGAGATATCGTAACGGTTACTCAACTGTGAAATAAATATCAATCATGATATGGCTCTCAAGGGAGATTCAGAAATAAATTGCAAATATTCAAAGGTTCCACTTATAAATGACGTGGGATCAGAGTTAAACATATAAATTCTTTGAACTAGAATCAAAACGGTAAATATTTGTAGAAACTCTGCCCTTTCTGTGATCAATCGCAGCTAGAGCACTGATCGGTGAATATGCATTGAACATTAGATAATCTTAAAAAGCGCATCTTAAACAACAGAGTTTCCCTTTTCAACAATTTTTCAACTATTTGTATTTCTTTTCACACCTTAATCATAGTACATTAAATTAATTTTCATCTCAAGGCCCGTGACATAAATTGCAATCAATTTTGAAATCTTGGTAGGAATATATTTTTCAAAATATGTTAAGTGCGGGTCGTTAAATATATTTAGAGAAAGTACCATGGAAATATAAAGCAAAATGAATTTCAGATTGATTCAGACAAAATAGTTGCAAGTATTACCAGACATTTATAGTTTAGTTTAGTTTAATTTATATTTCAATAATGTGAAACCGAAGATTACTCTTGACATATTTATATTTTAACGTTTTCAATTTAGCAACCAAACCTCTATAAAAGTTTTTATTCAAATTGTATTTTAGTTTTATTTAAAGTATTGGTGTTTCGAAATTAAAACAGAGGTTTTACCAAGAATATGCAAGCAAAAAATCCACTTACCTGAATGTATAGTTACAGAATATAGTAAAACTGATGTAACCATGTACAGACCTATGGTATTGTTTTTGAGCCATGTTATGAACATCCTTAGTCGCTTTCCGATACCCTTCCAGTATGTTATATTACACATGATGCGAATTATCAGTTGTGTCGCTTTTCATGGTTTAATAGGAGACGCCTCCTACTATTGAATCCATGTTGACGGAGTAGACGCGCTCCCAACTCATTTAGCTTGACGTCACCAGAATTGCAACGTTTAATTGGATCGGGACCAGGACAAATAAAGAAGATCCACTATTTGACGCTATTGAAAAAACAGTGGGGTTAATGTAATAATAACAAAGTGACATGTGTGTGAAGTCTGCTAATTGTTCAACAAGGTATACAGGGGTGGATGAAGAAATCCTTAAATGAGGGCACAAATTAAGATAGCTAACTAAAACTTTTGTGCACAAGTTTTCGAAATTCATGGTTCAGTTTTCCAAAATTTATAATAGTCATAGTGATAATTGAAAATTTAAAATGTATGAAATTTTGGTTGAAATTCCACACAGCCCTTAAAGGTTTAAAGCATGTCATAGGCCAATGTTCATTTTTGGAACCGAAACATAACACGAGATTTTGTCTAAAAATACAAAACAAAACTGAAATCATTAAGAATTAGGCCTACTTGCAGCCTTCAGGCACCTGAATAGATAGTAGGATTGACCATGTTTTGAAATTCTATGGATTGGAAGGAATAAAAATTCCTTGGTGCACAGAGAGTGGGGGATGAATCTCGATCTTAAATTCCTGGATTCATAGTAAGTGCTTAAAACTATACGTCTATCAATGGTAAATGCCTTTACCAGCTACCAAAGACGCTTGTACCTACGTGCACCCCAGACGTGCACCCCTCGCTCATAACTTGCGGTAATTTAAATATGCGCTTGCAAACTGCCGCCCATGCGCATGTGGAAATAGGCTAATTATTCATTCTAATGCAATTGTTACTGAACCTACCACTACCATTATTACAGTAGAACCCGTGTAAGTGGAGCACCCTTGGGACCACAAAAAGTGTTCTACTTGCGAGGTGTTCCACTTACAGAGGTTCATTTACACTCCCCTCCATAAGTTTGGCAACCTTATTTACTTAACCTGCGATGAAAATACTTATACTATTGATGGAAACGTAACTTGACTTTAATTCCAATACCTCCAAATTTTCTCAATTTTTTCCTCAGTTACAGTAGGTCGAAAATTGATGATGAATTTGATGAATTTTGGAAAATCGACATTCCCATGTTAACCAATGGGAAATGGTAGGTTTGCCGCAAGTCATATGACAGAATATCCATCCATCCGAGTCCTTGCAAAAAATACGAGTTAGGCAGGTAATTGAATTTGCTAACTTTATTTAACGAAAAATTGATATGTTTCTTCAGGTTCAACAACGTTATAGGGCTTTAAAGTCAAAATTGTTTTTCAAAATACTTCTCCCATTGAAATAACACAGGAGGCCCATTGGATTATATGGGAATGACGATTTTCAAAAATTCATCAAATTTATCATCAATTTTCGACCTATTGTAATTGAGGAAAAAAATTGAGAAAATTTGGAGGTATTGGAAATAAAGTCAAATTACGTTTCCATTAATATTATAAGTTATTTCATCGCCGGTTAAGTAAATAAAAATTCAAACGTAAAGAGGCTTTAACACGTAGTTCAATGGAGAAAAAAGGTTGCCAAACTTATGGAGGGGAGTGTATATGGAATCAATGGACTACAGGGCTTTCAAAAGCCTGTTCCACTTGTGAGGTGTTCCACTAAGCAGTTTCTGTAGTACTATTATAATTTGAATGAACACATGATTTTCGGTGTCGCCGTTTCCCCTAAACAATAATAATCTATTTCTCGAAATTATGTTTTCTAGTCCTATGTGCAGGAAACTATGAAAACAAATATATTAATCATAATAAAAAACAGTAAATGATAATAAATAGCAATTTGTTTGTGATTTGATAGCAGACCCAACTATTACAAAGATTATAATGCACATGTTTGCGCGTTGGTGTTAATAATAACAAAGGGAATCTGCCCTAATTAGGATTCAAAACGCCCATAAAAACGGAAAACGTAATTATCATACACTCGTGAGGCTTAATAATTAAAACGACCAGTTTCCAAAATATTTTGTGACACGTAAGGTCATTTGTGATAATATATAAGGTATACATGTATTCTACTCTGTGGGGACTGATTTCACTGACTTAGTTAAGTTAGTTAACCTATTTTCCAAACCGGCAAGATATTCACTAAAATTGTTACATTCTAATATTAGTAAATAGAATTGAAATGATTTTGATTGTGATATTCTGAAACTGCTACAGATTTTAGAATTACACTGTGACAATAATCCACAAACTTTTGTATCACAAACATTTTTGTGATACAAATGTTACGGTCAGGGATACATAATGCGAACGAGAGATGTGAGGTTATTTAAGGTGGGTCTGGAAACCAAGAAAGGGGGGAGGGCAACTTTGAGGTCAGAGAAAAAATGTTGGGCCCGGGCTTAAAACCCAAAAGTGGGCCCAAATTTGAAATTTTGAGGCCCATTTTCTTCAAAATGTGGCCTGAATTTGGAAAACAAGGCCTTAAAAGGCCCAGTAATGACCAAAAAGGCCCACTTTTTGGGGCATTAAGGCCTTTTTTGGCCCAACGCGACCTCCCCCCCAGATCCGCCAGTGGCACCTCAGTTACAAGCTCAAAAAATCCAGGGTATCAAGGTGATACTTCGACAATGGATTGATAACTGAACAGTCATAATTAAAAATCATATGATTCAGTCTCATCGTCAACTTACAGTATATACAGCAACATCAGCGGTATAATTGATCACAAATAGTGCGGCTGTGAATCTAACGTGAAATAAAAAAGATAAATACAATAACTTTGGTAGGCCTATTACTGTATGTTCAGTGCGTATAAAAAAACGCAACAAATAGTTATCTTGGAAAAGCATAAAACCAGTGATAACAGCATTGATTTCATTCAATGAACCATAAAGACATGTGTCTCCTCTTTCCAATGGTATGTCATTTATTGACATTGGGTCTTGGTTGGGCGAGCAAATTATGGTACTTGAATGAAATTGATGTAGTCATCACAGGTTTTGTGGTTCTACGAGATAACTGTTTGAACTTTTGATATGTATACAGTATACTATGTTTTTGTAATTCCTCAGTTTCTCTTCCTACATTTAACAATTCCATCGGTCAGCTCCGGGGTTTCGTGTCTTAGTAATAGCCTGACTCGGGGGTATCAATTATAAATTAAGCCTAATTAAGCCTAACATGGGAGCAAATTGATGTTTTTCTTGTTGTTACCTTGTACCGAAAGCCCTTGTAAGCGCGTTACTCCCACCTTCTCTTCCTCCGCTGAAACGGAAAATAGATATACAGGGTGTCTCAAAATGTGTACCTAAATCAACAGCACGGATAAACAAGACATTTTTAACGGACATTTTAGATATTTCATGGAGCCAAAATATGTAAGTTTTCTCCCCAATACACAGTTTTTAACTCAGCCTTGCCTTTTTGCCTGCCGTTTTGATGCCCTTTACTCTTTACACTATCACTGCCCGGTTATCACTGTTCCACAGCTGGATGACTCTAACTGCAGTTAGTACCATTCAAGCCATGCATGGCGAAACATTTGAAATCCAGATTCAACTTTAGCTGAAATCGGAGGTTTATCGTAAACGAAAGAATTTTGGCCACCATCTCGAATGCCACTAATAAACTGAAGTTAGAGTCATCATTCCAGCTGTGGAACAGTGACTATATGTAGCCTCGTAGCATTTACTTGCCCGCATCAAATTCAATGAGGGTGGTAATCCTTAGGGGTCACAAATCACAATAAGACCATGTTCAGGTACGTACAAGTTCTCATATTAAATTTGGCATTCGCTAAGGCGACATAATGTATAGCCACAAACCAAATCAGAAAATAACTTTTTTGATTGGCCAATGGGATCTAGTCCAAAGCACCTGTTTCGATGACGTCGTCACAGTTTTGTTATGGCGATAAAAATGGAGGATCAAGAAATCATTTAACATTTGTTAGTTTACAGAGACATGGTGTAGTAGAATGGGTTCTGGATGTAGTAGCCGCAATGCAGGTATATAGATATGACTCTGTCGTGTTTCTTACTCTCGTCTAACGGCGATTCTGACAGAATTCACATCGAAAAAGATTTCATACTCATCATTGATAGACTAGACCTGTAGATCTAATCCGAGTTTCGTTTTCGAACCGATCTCATATCCATAAGCATAGGAGGCATGTCACTGAAAAAATGTTAGAAAGATTCTCAAGGAGTGAAACAGAGATATTTTCCAATTTTGACTAAAACGGCTCTGGAATGGCAAATACCTCATGACCAGCCTTCAGTCTTATTTTGTAGAAAACAAATGTGTCCATACGTCTAGAGTCCATTTCACTTATCCCGTTCCATGACTATAGTCCTGTACTGAGTGCATACATTTGCCTGTACTATTACAACTTGAGAGAATTATCTACACCCCTTCCACTTAAGAAACCTACCTCAATGCATTCTAGAACTCAAAATGTAACTTCTAATATATTGGAACCGCCGATTGTCTGGGTTAGTTGGCAGAACGAGGTCTTTTTGTTTCTTATGGCTCTTTTGGTCGAAGTTCGATTAAGGTGCTATGGAACTTAAGGTTCAGCTGGAAAGTAACATTTTGGTAAAAAATTGCTATACCTGCACATGTTATTTTCTGGTACATAATTAAATATGAAGGCATGTGTGTATTTCCTTGCTTTTTTCAGGAAAGTATCATTACACTGTCTTCTTTTAGTAAACCTGGAAACAGGTCAATGATAGCTCCTGTGTTGTCTGGAAACTTTGAAAGAAAATTTGGAAAAACAGGAAGTGTGAAATATCAGAATTCCCTGGAGTTCCCTTTGAACGCCTACCAGATATTCTAAAAGAAGACAATGTAATGATACTTTCCTGAAAAAAGCAAGGAAATTGATACATGCCTTCATACTTTATTTTGTACCAGAAAATAACATGTGCAGGTATAGCAATTTTTTACCAAAATGTTACTTTCCAGCTGTACCTTAACAGGAAATGACAAAACAGGAAGTGAAATTTTTTTTTGCATTTTTAGACATTTTTTGAACAAAGATAACAGAGTTCTGTTTTGACCTCCAGTCAATTCCACTAGTTCCAAATACCGTTTACAGGTCCAGGATCACAATGTTTATGGTCAGAATGACCCTAAACATGATGAAATAACGTTTTCAGCCCTATGAAAATGTGACTGAAACAAATCCATTTAAACACGGAAGTGACGTAACGAAATACCAAGTTCGTGCTAAGGGGGTGTAAGCGCACCTAGCGTATTTTTGTAGAGTATACAGGAAATGTGTTATGATATTTATTAAGAAATTAGGTTTGGTAATCGCTGTATTAAGCCCCCAACCCACTTCACAAAGTTCAAGAAATACCAAGGAAAGACCAAATATTAAAGAATAAATTAGAAAAATTTGAATTTCCCAAAAAATCAAGTGGGCGATAATAGAGTTTCTGAAACATGGCAAAAGTGACATATTTTGTAATTCAAAATATCCGCCACTGACTCTACAAAATTATACATGCAAGCAAATTCGATGTGTTTTACAGTCTTGTAGAAGTATAATCTGATCGCTCAGAATGAGGAAGATCAGCATAAGTACATGAATGTAAAAATTGAATGTTACCTACATCTGGTATTTCTTTTTTTCCTGGACTGACAAGAACCAGTCTGGACTGGCTACTAATTAGAAGTCAGTCCAGAGACTGGCTACTTTTGGTCTGAACAGGTAAACTCTTCCAACCTGTCAGTCCGTTGTTCCTGTGAGTAATTTTGCCATAAGGAGAGCACTGGGCAAGAAAGTAGTCTATTTTAGGGCGTTTGACATTTAAAAGGCCATAGTGATTCTTAGGGTCCAAAGTAGAAGATACTTTTTTATGGGACTCAGACTCATTTTTTTTATATATATTCTAAGGCCTATGGAAGAGCTTCATTTTGTCAACTTAATGAAAAATGTTGCTTACCATATTCTCTCTGATGAGTGCACATGCGACTTTAATGATGAACATGGTCTCAAAAAATGAAGATAATTGTATTAGTTTCGATTATTTACACAATAGTTATCGAATGATGATTACATTTAATGCAGAAAAAGAAATACAAGAGCTGTATAGTATGTAAACCTTAGTGATTACAACTAAAAAAGATGATTGTGCACTTATTAAAATCTCTCAATATCTTGCCCATTTAAATTTCAACTTGGGAAGTGTACTGTGCGCTCATTAGAGAGAATATGGTATATCAAGGTCTACTTACATGTATGCCTTATAAAATCAGTATGGTTGTGAAAAAATGACTACTAAATCTATGCTTATTTTGGTTGATTGGAATTATCCTGAATAAAAAAACTAGAATGTATAGAGAATTTTGGGAGCATATCTTTGTGTGAATCTGGACTTTAGGAAGAAAATAAATCCGTTTCTTCTATCTGGATTGAGCTATTAGCATATATGTAGTACAAAAGTAATGTTATTTGTTCATTTATCTTAACAAAGAATGTTCTTATTGTAGATTCAGGAATGAATTGCAGTCAGAGTTTAAAGTTCCAGATAGTTTACTTATGTGTTGCTGATGTTACAAATATGTAGATACACAAAATACATCATAAAACAACTTTTTGTAACATCATCACTCCACCAGATGGTGTTGACTTCTTATTTAGATAACGTGGGTCATTCAGTGAAAATAAATTCAGATTCACTAACTAAGTCCCATAAAAGAAAACATTTTCAATTGCGGACTAATAACTAACTCATTGTTTTAATTTCAGTTAATGTTCAAGATGGGCCAAATGGAACAAATATTGAGGAAAGAACCCACAAGTTCAAGATTTGCGTATTAGGTAAGTTGAATGTATTGTGGAATTGTTGCAACTTAAAGCAAAGATACACACATGCATATATTGTATAGTCTACTCAAGTCCTTGGGTCCCCCTTTCACCATCTAGCTTAGGAAGTACCTGGGTGTAGGGTAGGGATTGGGTCGGGTAAGAATGGTACAGACCTATATTTTGCTTTTAAAGAGTACAATCAATAATTTTAACTAAATGTTTAAAGATGTTTACTATACAACATAATAGCTACTGGTTAATCCTTCTGTGCCATATAGGGCACCCCTTCAAAGACACACTGGGAGGACAACACTACAGGAAACATTGTTTGGGAGAAGAGGCTGTTAATAATGCTCCTAAAGCTTAGGACCTTTATAAAAAAGTAGAATGTTTTTCATATTATACCACACTACTTGTGCAATAAAATAACGGTTGTTAATAATGCTACGAAAGCCTAGGACCTATCAATGATTATGAGCAAATATGACGTTTCAAATAGATTTTAACAGAAATAACATGTTATTGATATCAAGGTATCTTATACAGATGATGTCAAAGTGAAATAAATAAATAAATGAAATGAATCTACAATATTGAGGATGTTCTGAAGTATACTAATTAAGTCTATTGCCACTAAAAATGAAAATAATCTTGTTGAAGTTTACATTAGAGGCTTAATGACGAACATCTACGACTTTTATCGTTCAGGTTAGGGGGCGTTCATGTTAGTGATTATTCATAATTTCATGGAAAAGTAAATATGATTAATTTCATTATTTTTCTCATGAGGACAAGAAAAATGATACTATGAAATAGAGTAAACCTGGGGGAATATATGGAAAGGATTCTGCCCTGTAAAAAACGATTATCTGTGAGCATTAGATAACTAATATGAATTCATTGCAACTTATTTCCACATGTATATATCAAATAATATCTTTTAATGCAAATTAGATTCAATTATCACATCCTTTTAAAATTTTGCAAAAATATTTAGCTTTTTAGTTGGTGGAAATCTCAAATACGAAGTAATATAGGGATATTTAATCATGATACATTTAGCGTATTATCAGTGAGTACTTTTTCCCTAGAGATAGATGGTTGATTATTAGTTAGCTGTTCTCATTACAAAATAATCACAAACAACTGCACTAATGAGTGTGTCAATGAGGATGTTTTAAATTCATCAAACAAACACCTGCCAGGTCACTACATGAATGCTTGATTAGCTTTCCTTTCCGTTTCCACAGTTAACTTACACATCCGCTGAAAAAATCTGAAAAATGGGGAGGTGATTCTAAAGATTTATTTGATAGATATTCCCCAAGTATTTAGTCCCTATCCCCTATTTTCTATTCAATCCTCGTGCTTATGTTGATTTTGATATCAAAGATTTTCAAGGACAAGAAAAAACGTTTTTTTATTTTTGTTTTTCCTCTTTATTAAGTGTCTTTTTGAGGTAAGTGGGAGAATTCTTCATATTTCAGATGAAACAGTTTGCACTTTCACAAAGAGGTGAAAAATTGGCAAAATTTCAATCTTGGTATGGTCAAAGGGTATTTCACTTTCTGATCTGAGCGTGAAGCCCAATCTTGAAGGATGGGGAAATGTTATTTTATTTCAAGTAAATCATTTTTTTTATTTTGAACTAAAAAAACAAGTGAATTTTATCATAACTTGTAAATATACCTCATGAAAATATGAATAACATGAACTATTTTCATTATAATTATTGGTAATCATGAAATTACAAAAAATTCTTAACATCTAAAATCTAGATGTTTCTTAACTTCCTATCCTAGGACGTGGATAACAGGAAATCACACGGTTGTGTATTTCATAAGCATGTCACATTCTGGATTACTCTTACAACACGTATGCATTGCATACCAGTTAAGAAGGCAAATGTTTCTGCCACGCGAGTGCCCACATACATATATAATTTATACACATGTATAGCCATAATTTGTATTAAGTAACTTTATCTTGAAAATATATGAGAGTTTCTTTCGTGTGGGCTTTATCCCATATGTTTTCATTATTATAAAAGACAGAATGTATCATTTGATATCAAATAAATAAATAATTTTAATACTTTGCAACTTCAAAGATATCATGCACATTAATTTGAACTTGACATATTAGTTCCATGAAGCATATAAATGACATAAATGTATAAGATGCATTTGTTGGAATTTCAGTGGAACAAACTTAAATGTACTCTCTTAACCTCCCTTTTCTTTCTATAAGAAACATAATCAATAGCTGCCAGTAATGTTTGCTTGGGCAGCTGTGTAAAAAAATCTTTGTAGTGAATTTTACTAATAAACAACAACAACAAACATTATCCAAAAGCTCCTCTTTATACATTAAAGTTTGTCAAGGTCCTCACCTGGTCATAAAGACATTTATTTTCATCATTTTCATGAACAAATAGCTTGTTTGGATTCAAATCATTTACCCATATGTTAATAGTAACATACAATTACAATATACAGTACTTGAAAACTAATCAGTCACGAGCAAATATATCATGAATAAGTGTTAATATTATAAAAACATACTTATAATGTTTTATCAGTCTTTGATCAGATATCACAGAATACCTTGATTAATAATTAACCTGCTTTTGAAAAGAAGGTGAATGCATGTGGGTGATAATTATTGTTCTCCTAATCCTGCAATTACAGAACCAATTTTTTTTAAATTGATGACTTATTGTTTTAGGAGATGCCAAAGTCGGAAAAACAAGCGTGTTTCGACGCTATTATCGTAACCAGTTTGACTTCAGTTACCAGCCAACAGAAAGAGTTGCAATAGGTAAGCGTAAAAGGGCTGCAATAGGCACATGTAAGAGATTGCAATAGGTAAGCTTAAAAATGTTGCAATAGGCACATGTAAGAGGTTGCAATAGGTAAGTGTAAAAGGGCTGCAATAGGCTCATGTACAATGTAAGAGATTGCAATAGGTAAGCGTAAAAATGTTGCAATAGGCACATGTAAGAGGTTGCAATAGGTAAGTGTAAAAGGGCTGCAATAGGCTCATGTAAGAGGTTGCAATAGGTAAGTGTAAAAAGGTTGCAATAGGTACATGTAAGAGGTTGCAATATGTAAGTGTAAAAGGGCTGCAATAGGCACATGTAAGAGGTTGCAATAGGTAAGGGTAAAAGGACTGCAATAGGCACATGTAAGAGAGTGCAATAGGTAAGCATAAAAGGACTGCAATAGGCACATGTAAGAGGTTGCAATAGGTAAGTGTAAAAAGGTTGCAATAGGCACATGTAAGAGGTTGCAATAGGTAAGCATAAAAATGTTGCAATAGGCACATGTAAGAGGTTGCAATAGGTAAGTGTAAAAGGGCTGCAATAGGCACATGTAAGAGGTTGCAATAGGTAAGTGTAAAAAGGTTGCAATAGGCACATGTAAGAGGTTGCAATAGGTAAGTGTAAAAGGGCTGCAATAGGCACATGTAAGAGGTTGCAATAGGTAAGCATAAAAATGTTGCAATAGGCACATGTAAGAGGTTGCAATAGGTAATCGTAAAAAGGTTGCAAAAGGCACAATGTAAGAGGTTGCAATAGGTAATCGTAAAAAGGTTGCAAAAGGCACAATGTAAGAGGTTGCAATAGGTAATCGTAAAAAGGTTGCAATAGGCACATATAAGAGGTTGCAATAGGTAATCGTAAAAAGGTTGCAAAAGGCACATGTAAGAGGTTGCAATAGGTAAGCATAAAAGAGTTGCAAAAGGCACATGTAAGAGGTTGCAATAGGTAAGCATAAAAAGGTTGCAATTGGCACATGTAAGAGGTTGCAATAGGTAAGCATAAAAAGGTTACAATAGGCACATGTAAGAGGTTGCAATAGGTAAGCATAAAAAGGTTGCAATAGGCACATGTAAGAGGTTGCAATAGGTAAGCATAAAAAGGTTGCAATAGGCACATGTAAGAGGTTGCAATAGGTAAGTCTAAAAGGGCTGCAAAAGGCACATGTAAGAGGTTGCAATAGGTAAGCATAAAAAGGTTGCAATCGGCACATGTAAGAGGTTGCAATAGGTAAGCATAAAAAGGTTGCAATAGGCACATGTAAGAGGTTGCAATAAGTAAGCATAAAAAGGTTGCAATCGGCACATGTAAGAGGTTGCAATAGGTAAGTCTAAAAGGGCTGCAAAAGGCACATGTAAGAGGTTGCAATAGGTAAGCATAAAAAGGTTGCAATCGGCACATGTAAAAGGTTGCAATAGGTAAGCATAAAAATGTTGCAATAGGCACATGTCAGAGGTTGTAATAGGCACATGTAAGAGGTTGTAATAGGCACATGTAAGAGGTTGCAATAGGTAAGCATAAAAATGTTGCAATAGGCACATGTCAGAGGTTGCAGTAGGTAAGTGTAAAATGTTGCAATAGGCACATGTAAGAGGTTGTAATAGGCACATGTAAGAGGTTGCAATAGGTAAGCATAAAAATGTTGCAATAGGCACATGTCAGAGGTTGCAGTAGGTAAGTGTAAAAGGTTGCAATAGGCACATGTAAGAGGTTGTAATAGGCACATGTAAGAGGTTGTAATAGGCACATGTAAGAGGTTGCAATAGGCACATGTAAGAGGTTGTAATAGGCACATGTAAGAGGTTGCAATAGGTAAGCATAAAAATGTTGCAATAGGCACATGTCAGAGGTTGCAGTAGGTAAGTGTAAAAGGTTGCAATAGGCACATGTAAGAGGTTGTAATAGGCAGATGTAAGAGGTTGTAATAGGCACATGTAAGAGGTTGCAATAGGCACATGTAAGAGGTTGTAATAGGCACATGTAAGAGGTTGTAATAGTCATATGTAAGAGGTTGCAATAGGCACATGTAAGAGGTTGTAATAGGCATATGTAAGAGGTTGTAATAGTCACATGTAAGAGGTTGCAATAGGCACATGTAAGAGGTTGTAATAGGCACATGTAAGAGGTTGTAATAGTCACATGTAAGAGGTTGCAATAGGCACATGTAAGAGGTTGTAATAGGCACATGATAGAGGTTGTAATAGGCACATGTAAGAGGTTGCAATAGGCACATGTAAGAGGTTGTAATAGGCACATGTAAGAGGTTGTAATAGGTAAGTGTAAAAGGGTTGATTAAGCTAAGTCCCAAGCTTATATCTTTCAGAAAACATAAATTGAATTCCCATAAGCCACATTTGCATCTAGGGTAATTTATAATCTAGTTATATCACAATCTAGGTATTCAACTTATATTAGTTAATTAAATGTAATTTGTGACTCTGATATGCATAGCTCGAAAGCAAGAATATTAGCCTATAATAATTAATGGCTACATGCAGTTATCTATCTAGCATTAAAGGGATAATTCTTGCAAGCCCATTTCTCACATGATATTGTAAGTTCGCATATATCATAAAACAATACATGCATCTCATTTTTCTTGAAGGGAAATGAAGGTAATACAAACATAAGGCAAGAAGGTGCATAAGAAGCACTAAATCAGCTGAATATTCTTTATCAATTATGTTTATGATTTAATTCTATAGATACATGTAATCTATTTTTTTATTTTAAGTCAACAATCCCTGAAAATATTTTTGCATAGACTGTTATTGTAAGGACCAGTTATCTAAAGGTGATTTTCTGCTACTTTCCTATTAACTGTTATGGGCAAGTTTATCAAAGTTGATAGTCAGTGACATCACTTCCTTGATGAAATCTTAAAAGGCAGCCTACTGGAAATGAGCCCTGCATTTTGAAATGATACATTTCGACAATTTCAAAACATTTTCCCATGTTTTGTTAAATATGGATAGTATGAAAATGGGTATAGCTACCATATAAGAGAGAGATGGGCTTGCAAGAAATATCCCTTTAAGGATGATCAGTGGAGGTTTAAATTTGTTTGATATATTTAATTTTTCTTGAATATTGTCTATTTTTTGGAAAAGTTGGCATAGATTTTTGCATCAAAATACACTTTATACTTAACATTTTAAAAATGAAAAATAGGTCCCCAGTGTTCACCATTTTCAATTTTATACAATTCTTAACAATAAGTGACCATTGTACTCAGTTGAGATTTTTTAAAGAGATACACGTATATACCCACTTGAAAGTGAGAAAAATCACCCCCTGGAGAATCTAGTTTCTGTTGCTATGTGGTTGCAACTTGTGGAGGAGGATATACACCATATCCAACCCTCTCATGAGATTACTTGTGCTTTCAGAAAATGTTGTTAAGAAGCTAAACATCCCAGAAAATGCTGTTGTGTCTGTTACTATGTGGGATCTACCTGGGGAAGAGGATATAGACCTGAGGAAGACTTACTACAGAGATATGGATGCAGCAATAGGTATTTGTCAATGGTTTTGTTATATACCATATTAAAACTGCCATGGACTATAGCTTTCATTTGGTATATGAATCAAAACCTGACTGCATTTAAGAGGCCTAATATTTCGATTGTGTAATTGTTTTGTGCATATCCTAGTTATGTTATATACCATATTAAAGCTGTCATGGATTATAGCTATCATTTGGTATATGAATCAAATCCTGACCACATTCAGGAGACAAAATTTCCCAATTGAGTAATTGTTCTGTGCATATCCTAGTTCTGTTATATACCAGAGACCAGAAATTCAAATTACAAAATTAATTTACATACCATTTTGAAGTCTGGATTTTAGCTTTCAGATTAGTCTAGCAATTTACAAACAGATTCATTGATTAAGATGCTTGCAAAAATGACAATTGTTATTCAGTAATGGTGAATTTTCCGAGGGGGCAATGATCACAAGTTTAGTCCCCCCAAACAATGTAAATTGTAATTGAGTAATACTAAGTGCAATCTGTAAAAATGCTTGTTTTCTTCCAGTTGTCGTTGACATGACAAGATCTGATAACATCAACAATGCCGGAAAGTGGCGGAGAGAAATTCTTGACCATGCCATGGTTACAAAACAGAAAGCTACAGCAGCTGAACAGGGAGAGTATGATGAAGAGGAGGAGGTGTATATAGACCATGATGCACCTGAAACTATCCCTGTCCTCCTTCTTGGAAACAAATATGATATTGTAAGTAAAATAATGAATTACAATTCAAATATATCAGCTGTGGTCATATATATTTAGAATAATTCTAATATCCAAACTTCCTTGCTTAATTAAAACCTTTGATGATCCATGCTTATTCATTTATTTTGACGTCAATGGATTTGTAATTTGGTCATTTTCACGGCTGTGGCTCATTGTGGGTCGGTTCCAAAGCCATCCTATTAGAAAAAGAGGGAGTCAGACAAATCAGAATGACTTTGGCTATATTTTTAGAACAATCCTAATAACCAGACTTCCTTTCTTGATTAAATTCTTTGATGATGCATGTACATTCATTAATTTTGATTGACTTCCAGTGGTATGCACCTTGGCCATTCTATGAATATTTAATTTAAATACTGGTATGGTGTTTGTTATCAAGATGATGATGTCAAAGTTTAATGTACATGTAGTAGTAAAAATAATGGTAAAATGTATACTTAATCCTTCATGCCTTCCTACAGCATCGCCAGTTGCAAAATTGCTACATGTATTGAATTAATACAAGTATGTAAAATGTTCTCTATTTGTGTGTTTTTACCTTCTTTGCAAGACAATTTTCAATATTGACCTAACGGAAAACAAAGAAATCAAATCCATTGGCCTAAGTATAACAGGCCCGTAGCCAGGGGGGTTCGCAGGGTTCGGGCGAATCCCCCCCCTGGTCAAAATTTTTTTCAAAATCATGCAGTTTTTCACCATTTTGAGCACTTTTCAAGTGATTTTAGCCATATTTGGGCCAAAATTGTCAAATGTGAACCCCCCCTGGAAATTTTTGAAAACTGAACCCCCCCTTGGCTACGGGCCTGTATAATAAATGATTTTTGAGTCAGATGAACCAACTTTTAACCATATGAAGTCTTTATGACCTGACCTGGTTGATTTATAATCTCTATATCAACTATTCCTCCCCTCTCAAAGGTATTATTTTATTAGGTGTAGAAACTCGAGACTAATTTTTATTTGATGATAAACTTTTCCCAATAAATCATCATAATTTCAGCTTTACAAAACAACTTTTTAATTTGGAATATGATCGTTAATGTGATTCTTTTATCAATAAATCTTGGTTTTTATTAAAACCTATTGAACTTAATTAACTGAATACAGACACTATTGCGGATAAATTCTAACTTTCCCAATTCACTATATCATGCACAGAGTAGGTTATTAAATGATTATATTTTTTACATCATTAGCCCAACTTGAAACCATACCCATCATTATTATCACACTGGATATATGAGATCTAGTAATAATCAAAAATTCACAGATGAAATTTTCATAGAGAGTATCTCTTCTACATAGCCTTATACAATGTTCCTTATTTTTGAACCTTTTTATACCTTATGATTCTGTGGGCCAACCTTATGTTGATTTAAAAATGTATTTGTGGGGAAGTTACAAAATCTTACAAAGTCGTCCAAAAGTAGCTGATTGGTTAAAAAAGGCTTTGTATTATTTTTATTATGTCACCATCACAAGTGTTGATATATTCTTATGGTCTCCAACTATTTTGTGGATGGTGTTTGGCAGTTAGTGTTTGGTGTTCAGTGGTTGGTGGAAGGCATTCAGTGTCTGTAATGGCAGGTGGTGACATTTTACTTGTTAATGCCTTATTATTTCTTCAGGGTACATATAGTTATTACTATATATCATGTATCCATTCAGAAAAAATATTTTTGGTTAGAAAATATTGCATCACACAAATTGACGCCCTTAATCATAACTTCGAAGTTACATGTACGTGTAGGCACATTTACGCAAGGTATATTAGGTGATTATATAGTCTTAGTGTCAGATAATTGATCAACGATGACCCTGTGGGTGTGTCACATTTGAAAATATTTGCCATATTTCAAAGTATCGCAGACGCAGAATCATGAGATTTGTCTCCACTGTTGCTTTTGGCTGAAGTTAAAGATAGGGCAATGTTCTAAAGATGAAAAATCACTACAAATAATGCCAATGACACTTGTATCCTGTGTCAATATTAATGGATGGCATATCATGATAAATTATGAGCGTAATTGAAATAGTATGTATACAATGTATTGTACTCATTTTGTCTATAGCTTTATGTATAGTTTTTTATTTATTCAAATTGCATTATAACCAAATTCACCAATTTTTGCATTGATGTTATTGTCCTATTTTCCAGATTGAGGAAAAGTTGAAAATTGAGCAATCAAGACGTAAAGATGAAAATGAGGCTCAAGAAGAAAGGGATCGACTAATTGATGACATTCAAACACGCGTGGAGGAGATGATGAAATCAGGAGCTATTAATGACACTGAAACAATTGTCATCCCTGAGACTAAACAGACTGATGATAATGTCATCAATGATGATAATAGGGTCAATGATGACATACTAAATGATGATAAGAATGACAATGGCAATAAGAATATCAATGATGACAAACTAGTCAATGAAAAACCTGTCAATGATGACAAAACAGTGAGTGATGACAAGCCAGTCAATGATGAGAATATTGTCAAAGATGAAAAAAATCCAGTTAATGATGATTCACAAAATAATGAGGAAGAGAGTAAAGCATTGGTCAAAAGTGGTGAAAAACTTGAAAAAGAGACAATCCCGACAACTACAACCACGCCATCTATGGAAACAGATGATGAGGTTTCAATATTTGCAGATCTATATGAAGAGGGCGCCACTATACCAGTCTGTGTGAAGCAATTACAGAAGGTTCAAAGGGAATCTGGTTGTGTGGGAAGGTAATTCTTCTTTCATTTTTCATATAAAACTAATCAACAATGAAGTGTATATAGGTTTATATTGAAATGTTCATTACATAATTATGTATTTAATCAAGCAAAAACTGTGTGTCATTAACTTGTGCATGTATTTAAAGCTAGAAAATACTTTGATCCCTGTGTTGGTGTATATGTAATGAGAGTTGGGGACTACAGTGTCATCTCAAACCTGAATGCCATTTTTGCACTCTGGATATTTTAATAACTACAGACTATAATTGATTTTAAGCAAACAAAACTCATAAGCTAAAAACTTTGTTTTTATCTCAACACCAGAAGTGGTAACATATTGTTATAGTCTCCAAGTTTTCTTGTGATGGTGTTTGGCCTCTGTAATACGGTGTGTAACAAATTAGGGCATCTGTAATAAATGATTGGTGGTGACATTTTGCATCTTAATCCCTTGTTTGTTATAGTTCTTCTAATCTTCATTTTCTGTATGCTTTGTAATATTTTATTTTTTAAAGTAGCAAAGTTCAATAAAAGTGCCATTTCTGGGTATAATTTCTTTAGTCCATCCATATGATGCAAAGTAAAAAATCTCAAAAGTGTGATATCAAAAAATTTTTATGGCAGTGCCTTAAGCTGAAAAATTGTCAAGTCATTGCTCACACATACATATGCTATAGCATGGAGCTTTCTTTTGCCAGTGCATAACTCCCATAAATAATTTTTCTCATTAGTTATAAGATGCAATGTGGGAAGTTCTAAATATGTGTTATATAACAGTAATAAATATGTCAAGCGTACAGGGAATAACATTCATAAAGGTTTAGTGTGATTTATTATAAAAGTGACTTTATGTACTTTTGGCTTAAGTTACAGTTGCTGTTAAGGTGAGATGTAAAGAGACATGTTAAGATGGGAAGTCACAAACATTCAGGGTGAATTTTCTATTTATCGCTCCGTATTCTCCATTGGATTACATTTTACTTATTAATCATGAATCTCACCAGTGTTAAAGCAAATAAGGGATTCTTGGTCTCAGTTGAGATTTTAGGAATTACGAAGCATATGCAGTTAAACCTATGTATATTGAACATTTTTTGCCAAGAAAAAATGTTCAGTGTTGGTAGGTGTTCACTACAGAAAGTGTAATTTATACAGAAGTCAGTAGAATATGTATGGAGGAAGGGTGTTCATAGGTGTTCACTAGAGAGAGGTGTTTACTAAGACAGGTTTTACTGTATATTAATTGTACGATATATTCAAAGTTGTAGCCAGGCATGAAGTAGACAATGCCACAGTCACGTAAAAATTTTACAGAAATGCATTTATTTAGGGCCTTTTGTTTAATCCTGGCTATCGTCTTGTTTGATAATTCTTCAAACACCTGTACCCCCACTTGCTCTATATCTTGAATAGATCAAGAATGGGGAGGGGGTTCATTTCATCTTGTCAATCTTTAGTAAAATATTTATTGGCTTAACCTAAAAGAATTTAATCTCTATTTAAGCTAATTTTGCCTCTTCATATTTTACAGTGTCATGGTTTCCGCAAAAGTAGCCGATGGTTCAGTCCATGCAGCTATACAGGCACTTGTTCGCCATCTATTGGAACTTAAGATGAATAAAAACAAGAAATCCAAGAAATTGAAAAAGAAAAAGAAGAAGCAGAAGAATGTGAAAAAACGTGTGGATTTTGAGGACTTGGAAGAGTGTGGCGTCCAAGAGGTTGGTTAAAAGCGTATTGTATTTTACATGATCTTTATTGAGAGCTTGGATGTAACAGGATTGGCTACTTTTAGGCAAAACATGTATTGTATTGTATTGTATTGTATTGTATTGTATTGAATTGTATTATCACTAAATAATCTGGTTGGGTATTGGTTATCAGATTTAGGTCAACGAATTATCTATAGATTGAACAAAGTTCAGTATTTTTGAAGGCTATTTATTAGGCAGGAATTGCCTACTCGTTTGTTCATTTCTCCATATAAATAAATGTTAATTTAATATGCATTTTAATATTGCATGTTTTATATTTAGATTGATGATCTATTTGAGAACTGCAATGCAAGTGTGAGGAAAACACTAAACTACAATAAATTCTACCTGGCAACATTGAAAGTGTTCAAACAACATTGTGCTGATGCTCATATTGTATTTGACCCCAAATGTAGCCTAGAGGACTGTATTATTGCTTTGAAGGAAGCTGCGGGGAAGGCTGGGGATGAAGATAGTTTCTATGTAAGTTTTTTAGATCTGAATCGTCATTTGTAATGTCTTTTTGATGTGATTGTTCCTTGTAGAATTAAACCTGTCTAAGTGGATTTATATTTGTTTCATTCGAAATGACCACTTTAAAGATGTTTCACCTATATGGATTGAAAGTGAGTGCACAAGAAAAACACCAGATTTTCTCCCAGCAAGGCCAGATAATGTAATAAAACCAACCATTCCTAACATTGAGCATATTTATTCAAAAATCAAATAGTTGCAAAATCATAGGTTATTTCAATATAGAACGTGAATCGATGTTGTCAAATGAAGGATACAAATTTTCATAGGAAAGTTCGATAAGAACTTGTCAAACTGGACACACTTGTTGATAGAAAAAATTGCCATCTCAAAAAAAGTCCACTGTGGGTATTACTAAATATTAAAGAGCATGGAAATGAAGTGACTGGTAATACATTGGTGCATATTTCATTTCAGTGTGAGGATGATGTTCATAGTATCTTTGTACATTGATAAGTTGTTTTATTTCAGTGTGAGGATGATGGTCAGTTTGTACGCTTAGTGATAGCTGAGATGAAACTAGCCGTTCCTGTAGAACGTGCAGTCAACTCCTTCCATAATGAGGTAAACTATCACCGTTTCATGTTTTTAAAAAATAAGATGAAAAAGAGTGAAAAAGACATCTTCAAATAGCAAGAGAGTTTCAATATTGCAAAAAATGAATAAATCCATCTCAAAGGATTTAAAGATGAAATTGTTTTTCAGTTTGGAGCTCTATGTAAAGCAATCATGAGGGACTGTCCCACCATATGCCACAACCTTGAGTCAGTAGATCAACGGGTTGAATCCAGATGCAATGATTTCATCAAAAACCCTGAGAAAATACCTCCAGAAACTGATGCGGATATTGTTAATGAGGACGATGTAAACTCTGAAAACAAAATGCCTAGTCAGGATCCCAACCAACCAAGTCAAAGGAATATGAAAAACTTTATTGCGGCTGTTGAAAGAAATAGGGCTAGGATCAAAAATGCATTAATTCAAACTGAGGAAAATTCGCAGAATGTGAAAAATGCTTGCCAAAAAGTAAAGGCTGCTCTACTGTGGTAAAACAGAGGTTTTATATAGGAGCCCATAAAGACTTCCCATTCATGAGAAAATATATTGTGAATTAAGTGAATAGTGCCAGTGTTTCATTGGGATTTTCTCATTTGTTTTACCTCTTCTGAATAAGAAATTGTCTGATTGAAACTGATTGAAAATTCCAATTTTCTAAAATTTCAACTTGGTCCACATGTACTTTAAACTGGGTGCAACATAACTATCAACTGATCAACAGATGTTTTAATCTCAGGGACATCACTGGTTAAGCTATTTAACTAATTGAAATTTAGTGGTTGGTCAATCGATCAACTTTCTAATTCACATACACAAGTACAGAAAAACCTCTCAACCGAACCTAAATTGTTAAATAAATAGAGAGAGAATCGATTCTCATATTGAAATGATCCCCTAGAGTATTTCTAAAACTGACACATCAATTAATACCAAATGAAAGAGCAGGTTATCAATCACCAGTAGAGAAAGAGCAGATTCACCTAAAGAGAACTCCAGTTGACCACCATAACTTGATACTTTTAGTATTATGCCATGTATGCATTGTATGACAATGACAATATTCATTGTGTTATCTGAGAGAGGAAAGCTAATATTGTAATTGCTATTATTTTTGTTTCGTGATTGGCATTTGGCGTAATTGTTGTCAAGAGTGTCACAGAGCGTAGACTTCAGCATTATTATTTGCATGTCATATGTGAAAATGTCATTGTATGTATAATATCTTGATGTTCCAATCTATTTTAGCATATTGTTCCCATGCATTATGTTTTCATATACCAGTTAATTATAATTAATATTTTTAGATGTATACTGTATCACTTCTTTGCAATCGCAATACATTATAATACAATGTTCCGTCCATTGGGAAAACTTTTGATATAAGCAAGTACTGCTTGGGTACAGAGGCTCATTATTTCATATATACTACATTATACCACTCTAAGTCCAATTACAGTTGTATAACATGGGTCTATAACAACGATATACAGTGGAGAGTGGTATATCGTCATCGTATACAACTCCTCCGTATACGCTCCAGCGTATACCACTGTAGAAGTGCATTCTGGGAACTAATGAATAAAAAAAATCATGAACATTTTCATGATTTCCTAGAATCAAGTGACGCCATAAATGGTTCCGGCATGATTTGCTAGAATCAAGCAACGTCATAAAAATGGTTCGAGATCAACATCAGCATTATTGAGTTGGCTATGGGATATTTTTATGGTTTTTAATTGTTATGATTGTGTTCGAATCAACTGTAATTGAACTTAAAGTGGCATAATAAGATTATATAATGGTTCATTCTGTATATCGTGAATTTTATACTCTCGTGAGAATAAAATATATTCACTCGTTCGCTACGCTCACTTGTGAATATATCATATACTCACTCGAGTATAAACACGATATACAGAAAGAACCATTATATAACCTCATAGTATACATGTATAAGGTACCTATGTATATATGACTTTTCCAAACACACAGAGTCCTTATTCATCAAACCCATTGCAAGTCAATTGCAATTGCAGCAATAATACAAGGGGAACTTATGGCGATCATGTCAGTGATAGTTTGATGAATAGCTCACGTGTTGCTTGATAGGATACAGCAGTGGTGTGTGTAATGTATGGCATCTGTGTGCATAGAATGCCATCTGTATTGTTCCTTGTAGACAGGTTAATAGTAGATAGTTAATAGACTGTGGACTACTCTGATAATTGCAACTTCCATTTTTCATGGAAGGTCACACATTCCAACATATTTCAAACAGTCTGTATGATTATGCTAGGCACTTTCTGGGTAGTTGGACTTCATGTAGGGGTGGCAGACGGCCCTCAGGCCAATTCATACCCCCACCCTAAGAAAACCTTGGGGGTACTTTAATACCACCTGATAAAAAGAATACTAATGCATGTCATATATTCATAGTTTTATAGTAGGCAGAGCATACCATGGTTAGTCAGTGCCAGAAATGTCCAATCTCTAACTTATATGGTTACCATGGAAACAGTATTTATATCTCAAAATCTTCTCAATTTGACCTCCTCCAAAATATGTCCCTTAGCCCTCAAAGTGAAATATTTGCAAGTTTGTTTGGATTTTGTGGCTGCAACTTTGTCAAAAGTTGTATAAATATGTATATATTCACACTAAAGCACTAAAAAGTTGATATAATGCTCCAATAAATCAATAATATCTATCAAATATAGTCACACACAACTACTTTTAGGGAAAAGTGGGCGTGGCACTTTTTGGAACTTGTGTAATTGTTGCAGCATTAAGCAAAAAATACATATTACACTAACAATAATTGACATTTAATTATCATTTACTAACATTGTGTAACATTGTAATATGTTCATTATCATTATTAGATACTTAAATTATTTTATGTAAGTGTTATCATGAACTTTCCTTTTATCCCTATACCATACAAGGTGGGCATCACCAATGGTGTCAAACTAACTTTTCTGTTTAACTTATTTTTTACCATAGACAAGGGAAAAAGCTTTACTTGAAGTCGTGACCTCATTAGGTGCTATGTATATGGATAGATGGATTGATACTAGTCGGTAGATGGCAGCACTTGTGCTAGTTGGGCTAGATACAAGTATTTACCATTGACTTGACATGTGTCACTAAGTCTATTGATTTACCATATTCGTTCTGTTGGATTAAAGTGAAACTGCATTTGCATTGAATTTGATGATGTTCAGATTGTGTTTGAAACTTGATGATAATCAGAAGTGTTTGAAACTGGATGTTGTTCAGATTGTGTACACATGAACTTTAATAGGACCACTGAAACAATAAGTCAATGTTTAAGATTCTTTAAAATCTCAATGAGAATTTAGCCTGTTAACCTATAATTAAACTACACTTCAGCAAGATTTCGAAGCTATATAACAAATCTCATAATTTGCAACTTTTTCATTATTTGATAATTTAACCCATTATTCTTTATTGCTGATTTAAAAATTGCAAGGAATTCAAATGACCTAGGGAAGCCAGTGATATGAATTGGCCTTATTCATTGAGTTACATTAAAATGGAAAATTGTGAAGAACAAGAGAACTGTTCCACGGCTTCACAGGAAATATGGAAGCAAAGTCAACAAGGGATGTTGGAACTAGGCTGTTAACATATAGAGATTTAGAACTCTCCAGGGAAGTGTCTCTATTTGGTATAAAATACACAGGTCTATTCATGCACACCATTTTAAATATGAATCAAAATTAGTGATATCCATGTTTCTGGTGAAAGCATTAATTGAAAGAGACAAACATCCTACCCCAATGGTATAAAATATAAGGAAGTTCGAAACAGTAAAAAGGTATTACCATTTTGGATTTGATTGAACAAATTGAATCAGAGGCAATTTTTAAATTTCGATATATTAAAAGAGGCTATCTTGGTTAGATGGGAGAATTAGCTGCATGTTAAAGGTGCCGCTTTGTTCAGTTTATAACAAAATTGATATTAAGCCCGAAACAGTAAGAAATGTTAAGCAAATATTTCATTCTATGGAGGGCAATACCTGTTCATCTTTCAATGATTTTTGCAATATGTATTGCCCGCAGCCCGTAGGGCGATGGTAATACATGTTGCAAAAATCATTGAAAGTGCAGTTGTCAGAATCCCCAGGCGGGCAAAACGCTGGACAATACGTCTTTTAAATATGGAAATAATTCAGTGAGCTGTGAAATACGCTGGTATTTTTAGTCACATGGTTCTGAATTAGCCAATCAAATCACACGATTTATAGCAATGATGCAATAATTAGTGCTACTTCCATGAACACCCATTTTGTAGAATAAGATTCTGATTCTCGTATTTGGTATATATATGAATTAGACAAAGGCAAATCCAGTCGAACATCTTGTTGAGCATCAAACAAAGGTACAAGCTATATATCATTTCTCAAAATGGCCACTTTACTGAAGAAATTGTCAAAAGATTATATGTATCATGTTTTAATGTATTTACGTTTAAATATAGCTGTCTTAATAAGTACACATGATGAAAATACAGGCACAAACAAAATGCATACTTTCTGCATACTTTCTTTGGATATTGATAAATTGAATGATATTGGCTAAAAACTTCTGTCAGAATTGAAACAATATTTCCCCAAGAAAAGTCAACATTTCAAAACAACAGCAATAGCTAGAACTATCCTATTTAGATGTTTACTTGACAGTATGGAAAATTGGAGAAGCCTGACAGTGAATCATAACAGATAGAGGTAGAAAGATTTGATAAAGAAAATGGAGTTTTGGTGTGGGAGGGGGGGGGGGGGGCGTGTAATTGTATACTTGTTTATAAAATTGATAAAATGACATATTCTAGACAAGGATAGGCATTTGCCATAATAAACTATGAGGGATAATGACTCATAAACTTACATAATGGAGATTTGGGGTAGTAATATGGAACATACGTTATATGGAAACTGTAACCTTATAAGATCTTGTCCAGTATTTCAGTCATACCTGATTATAAAGGACCATTGATGTTACAGCATCAGGGCATATTACATATAATATTTAATCATGACCATCATTTCTACTGTGCCAAAATCATTCAACCAATTTTAAAATGGAATACGAGAACAAGATTTCTTATTTTAGGTTATATTCATATGTCTAATAATATTTGATATTAAACATATTAACTTTTATTGTTTTTATACACTAAACAGATTTGTTTAGATATTATTTTAAGTTTTAACATAACAAACCACTTTCCAGGTCGAAGGAATCACTAAAGGTACAGCATTTCAGAAATGTGTAAATTGTTTATATTTCATTATTTTGTGAAATACTAAAAGGAGTTTTACCCGTACCTTGTTGACCATGAGTCAATGAATGCATTATGTAATATCTGCAAAATGATGCACTAAGCAATTCATACATGGAATACTAGTAATTTATTTTGCCATATTGGAATCAAGTATTTTCGTTAATCCATTGGATAGATCATGCATTACCTGATGTTGATAATAGAATCAGTTAGTCAATTGTAAGACACCATTTATCCGAGAAAATCTTAGTTATGTATTAAGGCAGGGCATAACATTTCACATATCGTTTATTCATGTTTACTACATCTATGGTTCCAATGTCATTTAAGCCTGATTTGGTGCAAATGTCAAAGCATAACATCAACTCTAAAGTAGTTTAATTCAATGAAAATTAAAAATATCAAAATCGACAATTACTGTCCGCCATCTTAGATGCGAAGGTTACGGCTGTTACCTTCACTTGGTACTGATCAGTGTCGGTCCATTACTTTTCAATTGCATAAAATGGCTCTAACCCTGACAAATGTATTAATCAATTTTAACTCATAGCTCTTGATCAATGAATCTATTTATATTCTAGCTTCAAGTCAATGAATATGACTTTGACAAGCTAAAAAGACTAAGGACCTCTAGGACTTAAAAGTTAATTTGACCATTAATGACCTATGATAGGGAAGGGTCATGATAACACTTATATAAAATATTTAAAGTATCTAATAATGATAATGAACATACTACAATGTTACACAATGTTAGTAGATGCTAATTAAATGTCAATTGTTGTTAGTGTAATAAGTATTTTTCATTTAATGCTGCAACAATTACACAAGTACCAAAAAGTGCCACGCCCACTTTTCCCTAAAAGCAGTTGTGTGTGACTACATTTGATAAATATTATTAATTTATGAGATCATTATATCAAGTTTTTAGTGCTTTAGTGTGAATACATACATATTAATTCAACTTTTGACAAAGTTGCAGCCACAAAATCCAAACAGATTTGCAAATATTTCACTTTGAGAACTTAAGGACACATTTGGGACGGGGTCAAATTGAGAAGATTGTGAGATATAAATACTGTTTCCATGGTAACCATATAAGTCAGAGATTGGAAATTTCTGGCACTGACTAACCATGGCATGCCCTACCCACTATAAAACGATGAATATCTGATATGCATTAGTATTATTTTTATTGGGTGGTATTAAAGTACCCCCAAGGTTTTGTTGGGGTAGGGGTATAAATTGGCCTGAGGGCCTTTTGCCACCCCTACATAAAGTCCAACTACCCAGAAAGTGTCTATTATAATCATACAAATTGTTTGAAATATGTTGGAATGTGTGACCTTCCATGAAAAGCGAGATCCATTTCTAGAGCACTTCTACAGAATAGTCCGCAGTCTATAACATGTTAATCAATGCAACTGTTTTTTTATTTTAGATTTTACAGCTCTAATATTTACAAATGATGCAAGATAAGATATTAGATGAGGTTAATAGTTTTATAGATAGAAACATGATTAATTTCATAACAGAGCGTGATTATTTTAATAGAACATAATATTAGGCAGGTCCTAATTACTATATTACTTTATGTAAATGATATGCATACTAATTATTATCTTCTTGTACACATTTTTAAATTGTTATAACATGTTTTTAATTATTTTTTTTCAATTCAATTTTTAAAAATCACTATTTATAGATTATATATAATATAAATTACAAAATGGTTGCAGGGTCTTCCAATAGAAAAAAAATATAACATTTAATCATGAACAAAAGTATTTGTGTTTTCATTTGTTGATTTTAAAATAACTTGATTTTTAAAGAACTGTAATTACTATTTCCAACAAAGAGGCTCAAACAATTCACCCCCCCCCCCTCCTGTAACAGAATCTGCTACGCTTCGGGTATAACTGAGCCTGGTCACATGATTAGCCTCGTCTTGAATCATCCCCTCACTCACTCCATCTATCTGTCCGTCCTCCCATATACTTGTTATAATGACAATTCAAAAAGGGACTAAAAGTCTAGTTGCAGAATAAAACAAGGCATTAAATTGCAAAATGTCACTACCTGCCATTTGTTACAGATGCTGACCACCTAGCAGCAAACACCAAAAGCCAAACACCAACTGCTGAACACTGTCCACAAAACAGTTGAAGACAATATGTCATAATTTGTGATGGTGACATGAAAAACTAGTCTTGATCCATTTGTCACAGAATTCTTGATATAGACTATTTTTATGAAAATTACATAAAAATGGGTGTTCATTTTTAAGTATGAGGCCATTTTTGATATTCTCCCTTGGACAGGGTTTGTCACTATAAAGCATAATTATAATTTTCAATATGTCTAGAGTTGGATCAATTTGTAAAGTTGTATTCAAGTCATAGCCAAAAATGTCTTAGGGTGACAGCGATTCTCGATCCCGAGAAGTTATCCTAAGGTCGGATGTCCAATGCGTTAAAGGCATCAGCTTGTAAGCTTTGAACTAAATCTGACAACTGGTATTTGAGCATTAACCAGACAGACGAAAGAACAGACAAACATATTATCTATATCTGTACTCAACCATTGTTGGTGGGATTATAAATCAAGGAAGATTGTGATGCATAATCGATTATCGTATTATATTACATATTGTCATCACAATATATATCAAATTCTACGAACAGTATCAAATTCCAGGAAAAAATGTTTTTTTTTTTTTTTTAGACAGGTAACATGCAAAAAGAATTATGGTTTAAACATTCTACTTCAGTCAATGACAGATCTCTGATGGTTTCCATTTCCGTGCCTGGTTTTTATTTTTCCAGGTTTTCATTGACAACATGTTCATCTCCTACTTTAAGGCCATTTATACTAAATTTAGCATGACCGGTCATTACCCAAGCATGACCTATAGAATACAAGTTCACATGGCTTGGATCACACCTAGCACATCCACATTTATAGATCCAGAGAGCTCTGTAAAGCCATGCTCATATGTTAACTTAAGTACACTTGTAGTGCACTCAGGAGATTTAGGCATTCTGATATTTTAATGCACCCTTCAAAGGTTTGTGCGAGCCCCCCCCCCCCACACACACACAAAGGGAGAGTCTGGAACTGGACATGCAGTATTGTCCCAGGGGAGGGGATTTTGGTATGGTACTTTGTCCTGGGAGGAGGGATATCTGAAATGCATATTCCCAGAAATAGGAACACTTTTGGCTGATCCCAGTGCAGTTCAGATGAGACAGATTTTACTGTACTAAATATTAGGAGTTGGATGACTTTGTCATAGGTTCTCTAAAGCTGAAAAATGTGCATATCCAGGTTCATTACTAAGGACTATGAAAAAATTAAGGCCTCTGTATTTCCTCGAATAACCAATTAGGTTTGGGGGGGATTTTAGAAACTTTGAAACATAGGCACGGAAATGAATGATATTGGATCTTTTAATTCATAAGATTAATTTTGCGATAGAAAAATTATAAATCTGAAAATTGTCATAACTAAATAATTGTTAACAATGATAAAATGTTCTCTTATAGGATGTACTGTAGATTGAGTTAATTTGGTGCCTGCTTTAATTTTGTGTATTTGGTGAAATAGAAAAAACTGCCATTACACATCTCCAAAATTTAGAGAGGATGGTGTATTTAAGTCACTTCTGGTTTAAAATCTGAAAAGGATAAGGGTGATAATCAGAACATATCACTTCTAAATTGGCTCAGGGAAATCGCTTCAATTACTAGATATAGTAGTTAAATTGAAGGAATGGGTGTAACATTTTGTAGAGTGTACATGTATATGGAAGTTGTGGCATCAGAGCAATATCCAAGCCCTTGTGTCTGCCAAATTAAATAGCTGCCAATATGCTAAAAATGGCATATTTAAATAGTGCCAAATTAACCCAATCTACAGTATGCCAATGTTGTATGTTTGTCATCCCCATGTGTAAAACATTTGATTTAGGAATTTCTTCATTGAGAATATTTCCAGAAAATAATTTCACAATACTAATTTAGCTAGCTGCATGTCTACTCATTTATTCATACAAAATTACACTGTATGACAGAATATATAATATAATACAACAAAGTTACAATATGATAACAAAGCTACAGTATGATCACATTTTGTCATTTTCTTAACAATGTAAGAAAATAAAATAAATAACCCCTTTAAACTACCCCAACATCAAATCACTTCAAAATCAAAAATAAACTTAGTAGAATTACTAAAATTACATTATAAGGAATTATATTATCCGAACAATACAATTGAAGTGTTTTACTTTAATTGAATGAATGAGTATCTTCTATTGGTCTTACCATTTTATGTACATATAAACATTAAGGCACCAATCTATAATCTTGTTACAATTTACAATATGTACAATATCTAAGGTCCTGTATACAAAATTATAGGTCACAAATTGTCCACTATAAAATGTTCCACTTTGTTCCAAATAACAGTTTTCCATTTCATGAAATGACAGTTTTCCATTGTCCAAAATGATGGGTCCCTCTCAGCTCCCAATGCAACCCTCAAAACATTTCTTTACAGCATCCCTAAAATTAAATAAAATATGAATCATAATGTGTCAGTTTTCAGAAGTTTTCAGTGGGGTAGTAAATGACACCTTTGAAGAAAGTTGATTTTGAAGAAGGGATACTCTCTAAAATTTCATTATATTGGGAGGGGGGAGAGCGGGTAGCCATGATGAGATTAACTATGTTTTTTCAACAATTGCTATGAACTTTTCCTGACACCAACCAACCATCAGCAAAGATGTGACATCCATTAAATAAATAGAATATTTATACAATAATAATTCACTACATTTCCTGTTATTGGGTTATCCCACTTAACATATCACCAAGAATGTGGCTTGACCTCCCTTATGATATGATATTATCAATTCAATTAAAGTGCCTTTCTATGTCTAAATGTGTTGACAGGAGAAATGTCAAATTAATCGAAAGATTACTTCTTAACTCATTGCAAATTGTTACATAAGTGTTACAATTGTTACAGATTCTGTAACAATGCCAAACATCTGTAATTAAAAAGTTGGAAGCAATATGTCACCACATCCTGAAGAAGACAAAGATGTGGAGACTTACCTTGCAAATGGGATGTATGATATGGCATACCATGTAGATGTTGAGACTTACCTTGCAAATGGGATGTATGATATGGCATACCATGTAGATGTTGAGACTTACCTTGCAAATGGGATGTATGATATGGCATACCATGAAGATGTTGAGACTTACCTTGCAAATGGGATGTATGATATGGCATACCACGTACATGTTGAGACTTACCTTGCAAATGGGATGTATGATATGGCATACCATGAAGATGTTGAGACTTACCTTGCAAATGGGATGTATGATATGGCATACCATGTAGATGTTGAGACTTACCTTGCAAATGGGATGTATGATATGGCATACCATGTAGATGTTGAGACTTACCTTGCAAATGGGATGTATGATATGGCATACCATGTAGATGTTGAGACTTACCTTGCAAATGGGATGTATGATATGGCATACCACGTCAACGCTAGGAACTGAAGAATGCAGAATATAATTGCAAGGATGGGAATATGCCACTGAAAGGAAAAAATGAAATGTATTAGAACAACACATATTTTACAACATCTTTTGAAAATATTGGATACAATTTTTTCATGTATTTCAAATGAAAATCCAAAATGTACAAGGGTGTATCATAATAGATTTAGATAACAAAACAGTTTAAGACAACACAACACAGAGCAATTATGCTATCAACATTTGTCTGATTTTCATGTACAGTATTGTCAATTCCTCCAACAAACTTTTCATATGAAACATGAATGTTATAATACTTCCAAGAAGGTCAACAGATACAGATGATGCCAAATATGCAAGTACCTCTATTTGTCAAGGATTAATTTGGATGTCAGATATTTCACCATAGATAGTTCTATTTGAAAATAGGAAATTCATTTACATATTGTCAATGAGGGTGTGATTTTTTTAGTTTGCATCACTGCGAGTGAAACAAGTGACTCAAAAGTTTTTAAAAATTTACATTGTATATGGTGCATTCTTAGTATTTCAAACTATAATTTGTTAAAAAATTGTCTACAAATTTTACAAAATTGCTTTTTTTCTTTTTTTGTTGAGGTGGGGGGGGATGCGATTGCAACCGTCACACCCACCCACCTGGCCACGCCCATGTATAATTGACTAAATTCTGGTAGTAAGTCTAGTTACGTTCTCTGAAAAAAAACATGAATAAAGAAAAGAAGGAAGAAGGAAAAGGGAAAAGAAGGCTAAGAATATAAGTACATACCCACAAAGCAGCACATAATGTTAATGCCATCATTACCTGAAAAATAAACATAACATATTGACTTATCATACTACAACTGAAGAGTCATAGATCTTTAAACATATATTAACTGATGATCTGATATTACAATTGAAGTTATGAATTTATTAATATAATTCACTGATCATATTTAATTGAGGAAAGAAACCAAGTATAAATTGCAGGTTACAAGATTGAGGGAGGGGGCAATAACCAGAGATATCATTGCAAAAAGTTAAAGGGTCGAGGAGTGTGAGTCACTGAGTCTCTGACATATTATTAACCAATCAATTTTGAGCAGGACTAAGCGAGGCTTGAAAGTGGACACACCTGCTCCAATCATCATACGTCATTCAAATGGTCATTCAAAATGCAACCACCATAATATATACAGAACTCTTTTACTGACTTGTAATCATGTCAGTCTGTCTTCTGACATATAATTGACAATACAGATAGTTATAGATTGTGTTTGTACAGTATGCAAAAGTTACATAGACATTCAAATTATATATAAGAGCATAAAAATTTACAAAAAATACATTTTACATAAAAATATTAATGTTCAGTGTTAATTTACATAATATGACCAATATGGCGAAGGGGTGTAACGTTGAAACCATTTTGGGGGAACTTCGACATGTGGGGTAACTTTGACACCTTGTTGTTTATTTGCTCTAATTTCCGATCTAGGGGAAGCCATGTTTTTTTTCTCGCATGTATCAAGATATCGGGAGATTTTAATTATTCCAGAAATCAAACATGGCGGAAAACGGAAATTCTACTTCTAATAAATAAGTGTCCAAGTTACGTCGACGTTACACCCCTTTGCCCCACTGGGCAATAATGAAATGATATCTCCACATAATACACCCAGTGACATTTGATCATAGGGTTCTAACATAGAATGCAAATGGTTTAATAAGGTACAGAAAATCAGTACATACAGGTTAAGTACCCAACAAGTTTAAAGATTTAGCTCAAAAATGGCTGTTTCAATTCATAATGGTGTACGACCATCATAAAAAAGCAGTATATTATACAAATACTTACAAAAACTAGAATGGTGGCGATCAGCCTTGTTTCTTGGAACATTTTTTTTATTTGTTTGAGGGGGCCCATTAGAAAGCAGGTACTGAAAATAATTATTTGATAATGCTATAATAGGATATAAAATTTCTTCTTATTTATTTTTACATACATTGTACTGTATTCTATATGTGGATGCTCAATTTCAAGTTTTCAACATTTCAAACGTTTAAGTTGGGATAAGTAATATTAATATAATCTAAGAGTTGCAAAAACATTACATTTTATATTTAAAGGGCTAATATTAATCAAGGAAATTGGAAAACCTAAAATCTTGACTAGTTTTCGAAAAATTTAAGATTTATGTTTGAAATACCTGCATAATCCAACTACGTTTCCTATAGTATATAAGATGGCAAATCCAGTCCAGTTTTGGAAAAACAGCAATATTGTACCCTGTAAAGAAAAAAACAATTTAGCTGAATGCAAGTCACAGGGGAAGTCTGTTAGAGGTCCAATGTACCTCATCATTACTCTACCCTGGATTTTTAATGGAAAGTATTTTTAATTTTTCTTTTGCAACATTTCAGATATTTTGTCATTTTTTAACCAAACATTTTATGAAATATTTTAGGACTTTTTTATTTTTTGTGGATCCGTGGCTAATATCAGTTTTCACAAGGAACAAATAGAATGACCATAGTCACAGATCCATAGAGTTCTCTGTAAGGATATATCTTATCAGTCTTATGTAGGGTAGGGTCCAACTTACTATAATTGAGAGTACAATTCCGATACAAAAGCAAGCTGCGAAACACTTCAGTCGTGTAGCAAAACTAAGTGTGCTGGCATCAGAGATCTGAAATACACAAAAGAACTCAAAATAACATTTATTGAACAAATAATTCTCAGATTTAGAAACAACACGATCTTATTTAATGATACCAAAAATACCCAGTTTGATTGATTGGTCTGATTGTTTGTTTATTTGGTTGATTGGTTTGACTGTTTTTTTTACTTGATTGTTACTTGTCGTATAAAACCACAGTTGAGTTATCACATCAACATTATAATTGAAAGAAACTGTTAATATAATATTAAAGAGAAACTACAATTCCAGATCAATCCTGGCTACAATTCTATCTAGTACTCTATCTACCTATAGCTAGTGCAGTTAGTTGAGTTAGAGTGTTAATTGTGCAAAACAGTCCCTTTTATTTAGCTAATGAACAAAATGAGCACTTTAAGGTAAGAAGGGGGGGGGGGGGCTTTAGAACTTGAATCTCGACAAAGACAAAGTATGATCTGACTTAGTCACTCTGATTTTAAGTGATGTGGGATGGAAATTTCAGATGTGCTTCTTTAGGGTTTAGAGGCCATTCGAACATGACTGTATTCACGCCTTCTATAAACTGTAAACAAAGTCAATGCTTCAGCTGGGTTATATTCGAGATCAATAACCCAGTTAATACGTGTAATGTGTGACGTCATAACAATGGGTCGTAGGAATGGTGGACCATGATGAATATTCGAAACAATTTGGTGAGTTTTCATGTTCGAATCGTAATATAGACCTCAGATCAGGGGTAATATCGTCGAATACACCCCTTGGGGCTAGGCACAAAAGCTTTCGAACCCCTCACTCCCTTCCGTCGTTCGTGGTACAGAAAACGTTTGTGCCTAGCCCTGCGGGTTGTATTCGACGATATAACCCCTGCTTTTCGGTCTATATTTCTTAATTCTATACCTGTTGATGTAAAGTTAAATTTTAAAACTGCTTTGTGACACAGGCATAGAAATTGTCATTTAGACGATATTAATAAACATTAATAATAAATTGAGGGAATAAAGGCTTATTTGGTATAAATGAAATCTAATACAAATAAATGTGATCCTATAATAAAGAGGCTTGTTTAGTCTATTCACAAATAAGCATATTGCAATTAAATTGACAGATTAACCTTTAGTAAAATGTAATTTAAATCTAAAATTGCAACAATTTAAAAAATAAAAATTGATGTTAAGTGTTAGAAAAAACATGCATTTTTAAATACTAGTACCGTACAGTACAGTAAAGTATTGTATGGTATGGTAAAGTACAGTACGACAGTCTAATGCATGGCCCAAAAATATCAACCTGAACCCATGCTCCATTCACCTTATACATTTACCAAATTAACCATATTTTGGGGGCTGTGCATCAGATTGTTTACAACGTATTTCACGTTTTAAACTATTTTGCAGCTAATGTTACAACATTCACAAATTTCTGCAAAAAATCAGATTTAGTTATAATTTACCTGGCTATATGTGTCCCCAAGGAGTGACTACGAATACAAACAGAACACTATATCAGTCAGGGTGTGTCATAAAGCAGGGTGCGCGACAGTTTTTTTGTAGACCAAAATTTCTTTTCACAGTATATCATAATAAAATCTTAACATTTTGTGCAAATCTACACTGTCTGTAAGTGCCAAGGGAGGCTAAGTTACAAAGTGAGGCAAATGAGGTGAAAGCAAATCAGATAGCCTCAGTCTAAAAGCCTTTACTGAGCACCCTATCTGACTCAGTTTAAACATCAACTAATCAAAATATATAGACCAGGTTGCATGTTATTTGCCTATCACCTATATTGATATTATCCTATATGAGGTTCAGGATATTGGGATTATCCCGAGGCCTATATGATATATCTGCCCGAGGGCCGTAGGTCCCGAGGGTAGATATATTATATTGGCCAAGGGATAATCCCAATATCCTGAACCGACTATAGGATGATCTGTTTATCCCATACCAATCACATTGTTCAATTGGCCAAAGTTCAGAAACTTTGCAACCAACCGTGGAATTATTTTAACTGCTCCTTCCCTTCTTTAAAGCATCAAACAGATCGTGATTGTCTGCGTTTTTCTCCATTGTCGTTTACAGTATGCGAACGTTACAAAAAAGAACCAATACGGAAACAGAGATTATGACGTTATATACTGTATCTGCCCGCTCGGAGCAGCAGGATGTAAAGCTATATCTGCCCGCTGATGAAAATATAAGTTTTTACAAACCGGCTTTATGTACCCGTAACACGTCCAAGTATGGGAAAAAACATATACATGCAAATTATCAGTTGGTCTATTGTAAAATTAGACTGGAGCAGCGCTTATGCCACACCCTGTTATCTAGCATAGTCTAGCCACAAGCCCCTGTGACCCCCCCCCTCCTACTACTTGACTACACAGGTATGAAAACTTCTCACACAGGGGGAGGTATGTAGTGGGGAGGGGTCACAAAGGCTTGTAGCTAGACCATATCTAGCACAGCACAAGCTTAACCTGTGACCTGTCACCATGGAGGTACTTTAATACTGTTCTTACATGCTTACATTAGTTTGTTTTGCCATCTAATTTCTGGAACTCCACTTCCCCTCTCTCATATTATACTTCACATTTAGAGGTGAAATACATGTAGGAGGAAGAGGAGGGGGGGGGGGTATGCACTGGACTATCGAAGGGTTGTAGTTTTAGAAATGTCTTTATAATTGCCTGTTAACTTTATTTCTATATTATCCTCTATATTCCTTTCTATTTTACATTTCAAATCATGGTTCATCATGCAAAAGCAGATTAGTAAGAGTGGGAAATATGTTTGCATGATGTTAAAGCATATTAAAGCATAATTAGTATGTTTATGGAACTATATTTCCAAAGCCAACATTTTTTAGCAAAAACCTGAAAGGTAAAAACAGATTACCCAAACTGACATGTCTCATGAAACAATACACACTAACTCCTGACCTATTCAATTCTGTTATTGTAGAGAAGAGACTGCATCATGGACAGTATATGTAATATGACATCTTTGTATGATTGCAAAATAAACTCATTTCAAAAGGGCAGCTGGCATATTTTATTTCATAAAGGAGTACTGTAAATCACTTTTAATTTGACAACTATTTTAATTGGTGTATTTGGCGGATTGATAAAAACTGCCCAATTAAGTTTCCGTCAATCTTTTAAAAAAATTCCCGGAACCTCAAGTCTCATTGAAAATTCTATCAATATTTTAATTGTCACCCCATTTTTTACATTTTAGCTCATATACATGTATATGTTGCCCAAGAGTAACTTGGCCATGTGACTTCCTAGCTAGCCCTCCAATATCAAGATTTTATTAATGGGTCAACCCACTAAATTAGATATCAGCCAAAATTTCAAAATTTGCCCAATATTCCAAATTTAATAGCGTCAAATTAAAGCAATTGACAGTATGCTAACAAGAAGCATTTAAGATAACATAACGCAAGACTACATGACCATACATCAACATTCTGCTGTTATAAGTTTTAACCAGGTACATGCTTAAAAGCTTAAGGTAGTTATGAGTCTGGAACCTTGTTCTAAACCATATGTTCAAGAAACTTGTGATATTAAGAGTGGATTTACCATATTATATGGAATCCCTATAGCCTTGATTTCAAAGACTATACCCCTGACAATACACAAATAATTCATAACAGATCAGAAACACCAGCACCAAAACTTACATGTATTTCAGACTAAACATGGTACTGACAGAAGAACATATTTACAACGAAATTAATTTGTCTGGCAGATTACCTAGAAAAGCTATTATGAGCTAGTTTCACTTTCATTTTTGAACCTCTGGATTATATGATCATGAGTCGTTGATTCCTTAATAGGCTGCTACATAAAAGTACATATAGTACTATTCAGAAAATACTTGATAAACACAATTCAATTAAGTTCAAGTTTTGTTAACTTTTCTTTGTTTTTAAATTTTTAAAATCTCATATTAATAGGTCTCTTGAAATGTGTAGTTTTTAACCTTCCATGTGAACTTTGTGCACAAAAACTGAACTCTACAAGATTATCTAATCTTTATAAGATCTGCCATCTTTCGTAAATGATTTTTATCTGACATTTAAGAGGACCATGTCTATGTGTTGAAGATTATGTGATTTGAAGTGGTGGATTTGTGAGACTATCTAGCTTCAGGACTACTGTAGTCCTGGATGCCTTAAGTGTGATGTCCCATCAAACCACAAAATGTTCATTTGGTATGTTTTAGTGCCAAAATATCGTAACTATCAAAAATACTTGTTTTACTATCCTAATTAATTTGAAGTACTTCAATGTTACCTGGAGCAGACCAGGAGTTGATTGATGAAATATTGAGGTAGAAATATATAAAAAGGTGAGTTTGAGAATTTGAAATTTGTCAATGAGAAACAGGTGCTGATGCATCATGGGTTGGAAAAAGACAAAAAATCGCCTACATTCCTTTCTGTATTTCGTTCTATATAAGAATACAGCCTTCATTCAGAGGAGTACTAATAGTAGTGTTGTTGCGATTAATCGATACATCGCGATGTACATTGCCAAAACTGATTCTGGCGATGCATCGATGCCTGAAACAAAACATTGATGTTTTAAAAAATAAAATTTGATAAAAAGGACCCTTTCTTATCTCATTTTGACGCAAATGTCATACCTTTCTCTTACTCACTTCGAGAGCCATGTTAGATTTTGAAACTTATGGCTCTCAAACGGAGAAGTGGACAGCTCATCGATTGTGACCTTTGAAATCGAATTAAGTCGATCAGCTGCCTACTTTTGTTCTCTAACTATGCTATACATCATTATCATCCTTCTGTGCAAGTATTGGAGTGCTGAGGTACTTCCTTTTCGATCAAGACTTGTAATTGTTAGTCGAGTGAATGTTTTTACTGCCGAATTCCAATATGGCGTTTTCTGCTCGGACATTTTCGGACATTTCCGGAGGTTGTCCGAACCTAACTAATTCTCAAAATTCATTTCGTTCGCTGCGTATCTCGCTCCTAGCAAACCGCCATATTGGAAATAGGTCTAAAAAACATTCACTCGATGAACAATTTACAAGTTTTGATCGAAAAAGAAGTATTTCAGCGCTCTAATACTTACACGGATTGATGATACTGATGTAAGACACAGTTAGAGACCAAAAGTAAGCCGCTGATCGACTTAATTCGATTTCAAAGGTCACAATCATTGAGCTGTCCAAATGCTCCGTGGGAAAGCTATTATATATCAAAATCCAAATAGCTTTCGCAGGAAGTAACCTTTCTCATGTCTTAGCTCATTTTTCAATCTTCTCTGATACTCTTTCACTTTAAAACTGTTTAAGCTCGTAAAAATTCTACTTTACTTTCATTTCACTGTTATCGGAAGTACCCGGATGTACCAGAGTACTATTATTTATTTGTTACGTTCACTGTTTTAGTGCATAAGCATTCTGTATTTCAGTGCTCTTTTCTCAGACTTTTTCCCGATGTACATCGCAATGTATATCGATGTTTACTCCTGAAAATTGCCGATGCAGCGATGTATGATCATGGCGCATCGGGACAACACTAACTAATAGATGTCCTACATGTTCCTGTGTTATGACTCATTGAACTGATGTTGATGAATAAGAATGCCTACATGGCCAGAATGAAATGATTTTTTCTCCACAATCTTACATAATATCTAATATGCATTCAAAACCTTATGTAATAGCTAATACCCAACAGTAAATACATAAGAATGTAATTACAACGATCAACAAGTGTCAGTGTGAAATATAAATGAAAAAAAAGGAGGCGTGAAAAAAGCTTCACATGTTGCACTTCCAAACGTTTTATCAGAGGTAAATCTCGCATTACATACCTGTGTAACGATCCCTTCTTCCTCGTCATTATCTCGGCTTAATGCCTTCTTCAACTTGTCCATTGTTTTGTTGAAAAACCAGTAAAATGTGCGGAAATTTTAGAGGATTTTACTTCCTATTTTATCTAGTTTCTAAGTCTGTATGCGGACACCAAATGAAAATATTTTTATTTGTGTGCTGACGATGTAAGCAAATACGAATTAGAATATATTGTTTACAGACAATTGCAACATATATGAGCCTGTTTAGCCCCATGTAGTTGATTTGTGCTTTTTCTTATTGACATCACAAGCAAATCTCTGGGCTGTTATGTGAGTTTGCTGTTTTGTTGAAAGCCCATGATTGTACTTCTTAAAAAGTGATCTTGTTTTCTCATTTCTATTGCCTGAGACTAACATAATGGTGGTCTCATATTGTATAAATAGATATTACAAGAAGATATCTCAAAATTTTTGAAAGGTAGAATGGCCTAATTGGGAAGATATCAAATTTTGGTGACCAAAATTAGCCTGAAAACAATGGATCAGATAAGTTTTCCACATGAGAAAATAACATTGGATGTTGTTTTGCCATAAAGAAAACTCATTGATTAATATTTGACTTATTTTCTGAAAAGAGGATCTTGTTTTTCTCATTTTTATTGAATGAATAGATTATGAAAGAATATATCGATATATATCTTCTTCAAAGGTGAATGAAAATTGAAAGATCAAATTGAAAACAATGGACCCAATGAGTTTTCCCTATTGGAAAATAACATGAGATGTGTCTTAAATTCATCACTTTTTAATGCCTTAAACTTTTGTCAAAATTTTTCAAGAACAGCGATATAAGGGGGAATTAATACAGTGAATATTTCAACTTATTAATGTTGTTACTATATATAAATGAAGGCAAAGAATCATTTTAGCTAATTTATTCCAAATATATTGTCACTTGAATGCATGTGTACAATACACTACAAATCTACAATAGTTAGCTTATTAAAATACAATTACTATTGCTACTACATTTACATTTTATAAGAATAATGTATAGAAAATAGACAAGCACAATATGTACATTTTTACTAGCAAAAGCTGAGTTCTAAAGATTCTATTTAGCATGTTATTTTGTATATAGTTTTTCCAAACAATACTGAATGTAAGCTACTAAAATGCCATATATATAAAATAGATATAAAATACAAGCATGTTCTTCATATTGAATGTGTTAAGCTGGTAAGTGTATTATAATATCATATGCCTTATAGCATGACCATCTGTAAGTAAAGACATTTATATACAAACTGTTTGTCGACAAGGCATATTCTTTGTTAAAGAATTTTTCAAATAATATTTTACATTTACTACAATTATTTATCTAAGTAAAGGTACATATATTGCACTATACTTTTTGAAAGTAAAAACTACCGGGTATGTAATCTTTTTGTAGAGATAATAATTTGAATACGAAAATAACATTTTTTATGGCAACTTTCAAAACGTGTCTTATAAAATGGAAGACACTTATGTTCACTATGATGACAGTATATTTTAACATAAATACAAGTATTAAATTAAAAAATAAGCATTTCAATATATAAAATACTGATAAGTACAGTATGTTCAGCTAAGATTCTGAATAATTGCACCTGCAAATATTAATTGCACCTGCACATGTCATTACATCCTAATAAAAATGCAAATTATTAAGTAAATGCTGGTACAATATCAAACACATTTGCCTTTAAATACATCAATAAATCATATACATATTACATTACAACATAATACATACATTGTAAAAGTATGCACTTCCAAGCCCTTAGCCACGTGCCACCAGAAGGGTGCTCTAATTTTTGATAGGTGCTCTAATTTTTCAGGAAGGCTCTAATTTTTGATAGAGTTTGAAATTGTGCAATTTGCCCATTTAGCTAAACACTGGGAATTTTAATGCCAATGTACCAATAATACAAACGTATCCAATTTTGACCAAAATCAAATGAGCATATTTTTCAAGACAAGCTGATACAATAGGGAGTGGGGGTGAGATGGCTGAGGACATGTGCAATTTTTTTCAAACAACTAACATTACAATTTCAAATAATATAGGAAATGTTCTTCAAATAATCTCATTTTAGATATGACATGAAAATCTGTACTAAAATATGTTAAGTTTGCAGAGACCTATATAATACGTCATTAATGAGAATAGCTCCTTATGTAGAAGTCCCATTCCTCTTTCATTTACACATGGACATGATTTGCATATAACTGTCATAAATTTTGCATTTTGTGCATAGTTATGGTTTGCATCACTTATATAATTTACTCATGGTGTAATATAATCGTGGTTCGCCAATTAATATGTTACAAAGCAATTAATTTGGAATAATTATCAGGAGTCCATCTAATGTCCATGCAATGAGCTAGCAACAAAACTAAAGAAATCTTACTTTTTTCTTTTAACTATAACTGTGAAATGTTCCATAGAAATAAATGTGTAATATCCTCTTTGGCTTAGATCTGCCTCGTCTATTCATTTGCCTACTTAGCATGTACATTCCTTAAAGCAGGCCATTTCTTAAAGTGTAACCATGCTCTTTAGAATATCAATATGCAATAATAACCGTAATCATGCTAAAGTACATTGTCAACACTCAAGCATCATATGAAGGCATTGAAATCTTGCACATTTTAACCATAAGCTCAACATGAATTATGAATGCAGTGTTTAATGTCAACTGCAACAGGTTTAAGGCTGATATAAAGATGGCAGCAGTGTCTTATCTAAAAAAAACTGATTGGCCTGCCATCTTTATTTGAAAATCATTTCTATCCTCCTCTGGAGCCAATTAGCCTCTGTGTCTACTGCAGGTCTCTATCCAATGCACCTCAATAGTTCACCAATAATACTTAATTCGGAATTGCCAATGCAGGGGCATGTCCTGGCATCATTTGGGTGGATTGAGACATCGACCCCCTGGCCCCAAACTCAAAATCCAAATCATCAAGATCTTCAAACTTCAGGAACTGCTTCAAAGTGATGGGGATTGGGAGCAGGTCTATTTGTTTAGGGCATGTTTTGTACTCCCTGAGAGTATCTCTTATTGCTAATCGACTAATTTCAGTTAGCGAGCGTGCATTTGAGTTGAACTCACAAAGCCAGTTCATATGGCCTCTATTTGGGTCAAAACGCCGATCATTCAGATCCTTTGGGGCAATGAATGAAGTTGTGCAACCTGCATATGCAAGCAGTTTAGCAACTGTGAACCTACCCATCCTCAATGCAGAATCAAAAGGGTTCTCAATTTTAGCTTCGTTTGAGAATCTCAAATCACAGTTGGCCTGGATTATGAGTTTTGCGATTGTGAAGGTATTTGGTTTTTCAACATCAATACATAATATTGGAGTTTCATTTTGTTTGTTTTGGTTGTTGACATTAGCACCCTTCTCAATAAGGTACTTGACTGACTCAACCTGGGCTTCACAAACAGCATCCATCAGGGGAGTGTTGTGATCATAATCTAAAGCATCTATGTCACAACCTGCTTCAACTAGTACATCTAAGCATTCAACATGGCCGTAGTAAGCTGCCACATGCATGCAAGACCTCCCAGTTTCCTTATTACAAAACTCAAGGTTACATTTCTGCTGAATGAGATATCTCAATATGTCCACATGGCCATTCATTACTGCATAAACTGCTGGCGTATCATCATACAAGTTTTTGGCATTTATTTTCGAGCCCAAAGAAATCAGTTTCTTGACGCAATTCAAGCAGCCAGCTAGGCAAGCACTATGCAAGACACTATCTTTATTATCAGTGAGCATATTCAACGAACATCTATGATCGAGCAACAGATTTGCAACTTCTTCATTATTTCGCTCTAATGCATACATTAATGGAGTCCTTCTACGCCTGTCCATAATATCTGGGTTAGCACCATTCTGGAGTAATTCATTCACACAAGACATGTGGTCATATACTGCGGCAAAGTGCAATGCTGAGGCTCCATTGTGGCTTTTTAAGTTAACGTCGCAACCTGCTTGAATGAACTGCTTAATGATGCGTAACTGGCCATCCTCAGCAGCCATGTGTAGAGGAGTGATACCATCAAATGTTTGGATGTTGACGTCAGCCCCTGCTGATAAGAGAATCTCAACACATTCTGAAATGCAGGATAAATTTTTTCTTAAATAATTACATGTAATTGTTAAACACATCCAATTTATTCAGTCAATCACGATTTCTTCATGTGTGGTAAATTCATCTGAAGTGTTGTGTTTTGCACAACTAGATTGAAAACACAATTCATTCTGCTTATTGAGATTTCTCAAACCCACATCAAAATGTAGCAAGGCTTGACATGCAAAATGTAATCATCTGCCATTTGTAACAGACACCAACCACCTAACACCATGGGCTTTCAATTAGACAAAAATTGGAAACTATAAGAAATGGCAAAAGAAATAGAAAACAATCTAAACCATACTCCTCTGATGTTTTATACATCGATTTCTTAGATCTGTATGTGTTACATACCTCTTGACCTGGCCTTGACAGCTTCATGGAGGGCAGTGTCTCCCAACTTAGACTTCTTGTTGAGGTCACATCCTGCAGATAGGAGAATGTTCACCAGATCTACATTAGCTTCAGCATCCCTAAAATAATGAACTTCATGGGTTATTAGAAATAAGACACAGAGTGATAAATATCACACTCTTAAAGAAAGTTCATAATGGCCACAAAGTAATTTATCCAGCATTTTGGCCCAAGTCTACTCTTGCATCTGTGACAGAACAGATAAGCAGTTTTCCTGGAATTTTGATGACATCTATCCAGCCAAGATGGACAGATGGATGCATGATACACACCTTACAGCACAGGATGACATCAATATTGTACTTGGAATAGGTGTGAGAGTATAAGTTGGAAAAATAAAAATGATGGCTTATAGGATGGGCATGGGTCATACCAAGATCAGAGGAGACGGGGTATATGACACGAAAATATTTGGATGAAAGGTTTCAACTTAATGAGCTTGAGGATTTAGGGTTGAGATGGCTACTAAACTATGGCAAAAATCAACTGACTAAAAAGCCAACCAATTAAACAAAACAACCAACCCATAAGCCCACCAATTAAACAAAACGACCAACAAACTAACCATCTCAAGTTCATCTGATGTGTCCATTAGGCAATGATAAAATAAATAACAAAGACATTATAATTTATATTCTAAATAAAATCATAATTTATATTACAGACAAAATAAACAAATAATTAAATGCAAAATGATGTTACTGCTGAAAATCTATTATCATACAAACAAATACAAAGAACAATAAAAGTTACAAAACTTGAGTACCTAATTGCACACATTAAGGGTGTGGTCCTGTTTGGGCCCTCATAGTTAGTATCAGCTCCCATTTCAACTAGAAGCTGAACATACTGTTCATTGTTAGACTTGACAGCTTGGAGTAGAGCATGGCTGAGTTGTTCTTTGGTAGGTTCCTCCCAGTCATCGAATTGTAGAGCATCATCACTGAAGAAAAGAAATGGACAATGAGAGAAGAATCCATCACTTTTTAATTATAGGGGAAACAAAGCAGAGAGATGAGTGAACAACATCAGATTGATATGATATTCAGGCCTGTAGCCAGGATTTGCCAAAAAACACTTTTTGAAAAATTCCTAATGTTTTTTTAGTGACAATTTTGGTTCAAAAATGACCAAAACACTTAAAAAGTGCTCAGAATGGTGAAAAACTGCATGATTTTGAAATTTTTGTGGACGGGGGGGGGGGGGTTGCTCGAACCAATCGAACCCCCCCCCCCCCCCTGGTTACTTTATTGCATGATGACAGTTTATTTTCAATGTAATTTGGAAATATTTTTTCTTATGAACATTTCATTATCTTAAATGATTTCCTATTTTATAAATATGTCAGTTTACTTCAGTTACCAAATGTATACCAAATATGCAATACAAGGTCTAATATGATGCATTGCATAATTATTTCACCTATACTTCACACAAATGGTCATTTATCAGAGAGATAATCGATCATCTGAAAGAGAAAAACTTTGTCATGAGTTACACATTCTATAGATGTAAAAATAGTTTTGCAAAAACACAATATTTGGGTCCAACCTAGTTTAGTGCTAGGAAAGAGTTGTGAGTTCAATTCCCACTGTGATTGACTGACTTTTTCACATCAGCCCTTACCATAAAATTTCATTTTGTGTCTTCATCAACTTAGTATTTGGCATTTCTCAAAAATTCCAAATACTAAGTTACATTTCTCAAGATGTAACCATGTTACACAATGTAATTGTGCCTGTAATAAAATATAATTGAATGAGTGAGTCTGAGTTGTGATACCAAGTATTTCACCTATGGTAATGGCTGAGTCATCACCCATGAGACTGTTCTTTGTTACTTTAGTATATAATTAATCAATTTCGCCAACTTGTAAATTTCATTTTTGAAACACTTTATATTATAAATATGAGTAATAACATAACAGAACCATTATCAGTCAATGTTCTCATTAATACCCATAAAGTATTCAAATAAATAAAATTAATTAATTAATGGTTCTATATGTTCTTTATGTTGTCATCTTTGGTATCTAACTTAGTTGACAAACAAAGGAAACAAAGAATGTCAATGTGACATCCATAATCATGTTGCACAAAAACTAATTTCTAAAATGTTTGCTTCATTAAAAGTAAAATTCTAGATGTTTGAAAGACAGATATGTGAACTACTTACTAAATAGTAAATATGTGTATTGTAATTTGTACCTTACCTCATTATTACCGGAGTACAGTTCTGGTAAAATGAAGAAATTCTTCAATTAATACGACGCAAATTGTGCAAAATCTTTGTTATGATTTTTTCAATGACAGACCCCTTCTTATAAGACAAACTGGTGATTTCATTTTAGGGATTGTTTGTGTACAAATAAAACAACTCCAAGAAAATGCACATAGTCTTGATATAAAAGCATTTAGTAACTAGAGTTGACCATTGATTTGTGTACTGGTTAATGGTGAGTTATTTATAATTTTACATGTTCATCTGCTTAATGTCAAGGGGTCTACGAGACTTTCAGAGAAAACTCGAGACTTATGAAATTTTGTTTTCCATCATGAGGGATGTTAGCGCTTATTTAGCTGAGCAGCAAACGAAGACTAAGGGAGATATTGCCACAACTTTCAGTAATTTAGAGACGCTATATAATAAGAAGTAAGTAGATACGATTTTTTGGGTATTTGACCCGAAACTTTCCGAGAAATCACCTGGAAAAAATGACCGGTTTTTGTGAATCATCAAACCACCTTTATTATCGCCCATATAAATGTTTATTTTTTGGGAATTCTAAGATCTTGTCTCTGTTGATACCGCTCTGTAGGTTTTAAAGAACAAAGTACACTTGAAGTTGAAAAGTAAGGGAATGGGATTATTTTAACCATGGATCTACTTTCTACCAGTATGTGATATGTCCTCCCGCACTCTCAATCTATGAGATTGATCAACAACAAATACATGTACAGTGGGGATCATAAAGAATTGCAAAAGCTATGAAAATTACATGCTGTCGCACATGTAATAATAAATTCTTACCTCAGTGTATTCAGTGCTCTATTTTCTCCGTCTTAGTAAGTCCAAATATAGTGGAATTTGTGTCCCTAATGACAAATAAGAACTTCAAAAGTTGAATTGGATATTCACATGTTATGACGACTCTTCAAATGTTGAGGTGATTTGCCGCCCGATTGCGCCGGAATGGAGGATTGGCTCCCAGAATGCAACATGACACGTGCCAGCTTTCAAAATGCTGTTCCGCCATTTTGAAACCTGTCATGAGTAAATACGGTTAACTGGGGCCGTGAATTCGTATGATCCGCGATCCGATCTGGATAAATTTCGTCATGGTAATGATGCATTGTGGGATTAATCCAAGAATTTATCCAAAAATCGGTGAATTCGTACGATCCTGGGATTAATCTCAGGATAAATCTCAATCCACCTCTTGAGGTGGATTACTTTTTGGATAAATTTTATCCGAATTCCAATGCAAATTGGATAAATCTTGGGGATTCCCCCTCATAATCCTCGGATCGTACGAATTCACCAAATATTTATCGGATTAGTAATCCAAGATTTATCCTAGAAGATAAAATTTATCCGGATCGGATCGCGGATCGTACGAATTCACGGCCCCTGATGTTGCATTCTGGGAGTCAACCATCCTTGGATAACAAACATGGCGATTCATGAAAACATTCATTCGATTTGGTAGGGTTTATCCATTATTTGCAGGTATGAAGCTTTGGATTCATTTATTGTGCTACTTTAGTCAACGGGAATTATTTTTCTATCGCTTGGGAGAGTTTGAGACACGAAACTTGGAAATAAGCTCATTGTGACAACTTGTGAACGTTGAGTTTTATTTTTGTCCCCCACTTTAGACTACAGTGCGAAACTGTAATTTCAATTAAACCATATCAGCTTTGTTTTGTTCATGATGAAGCATAAGGTGTGAGTACCGTAATCCAACACAAAATTTGAAAATTCTGAACATTACTTTGCACATATGGTTACAGTCAAAACAGTAATGTTTGTGAGTACTTTGAATTTAAAAAATAAGCAATCAAATGACCAAATTGAAACAGTTTATGTAAAAATAGAAACATTTATATTTATCCTAACTTTGTATAATTCAGATAGTAATGTATAATGTGCAGCAATGCTGTGGCCTTTTGTAATTTAAGGAGTTTTAGCCATGTTAATCTTTCCGAAAATAACATGGCAGAGAAGTATCAAGATATAAGAGGACACAGATATGATAGCTAAACTAGAAAACAAACTAAAATATACAAAAGTTAGGATAAATATAAATGTTTCTATTTTTACATAAAACTCTTTCAATTTGGTCTTTTGATTGCTTATCTTTTAAATTCAAAGTACTCACAAACATTACTGTTTTGACTTTATGAAACGCTTATCCCCCATAGTGTTATATATGAAAATGTACCTGTTCATATGGGGGTTCGATTGATCGAGTACATCAAATTATAGGGAATCTGGTTACTTTTTGAGATATCAGCATCCATTTATTGTAACTCACGTTTGCTACCATTTGCTCAATTATGAGATGACGGGCACAGGAGTAGTAAACATGCTCACACTGGAACTATTTTGCCCTACATCGCTATTTTCATAATTAAAATAAAAGTTGAGCTCCTCCTTTTTATTTTGATACCAAATAATGGCAAACTGGGTACCCTAGAAGCCAACTATGGCGTTATTTAGAATAAAATAGTTTCACAATGTAACCTAACTTATATACATAGGTTCATTTAACATAGTCAGTTGGGCTTGGGACTCTGAGAAGTATTCCACAGAGATGTTCCACCAATGTATGTAGCATGTAAAACATCGAGTAGACGATTTTGGCGATTATTTTATTAATAAATTGAGAAAATTAGAACCTGGAAAATCAAGGCATTTGTCACTACTTACATCGACTTTTGGTTTAATGACCACTCAATGATGTAGTTCTGAACGGACTGAGTTCCGTTTTGGATGTTTTAGACGTACATTTACCGTATATTAGCAAATATTTACCCCTTATATTTATTTTTGACTTTGAAATTCCCACTTCTGTCAAAATACATATGCGTATGCGACATACCGGATACAAACAAACATAAAAAGCAATGAATACGATTCTCATACTTTATTCTCATCAACTGACCATTAAATCAACAAAACAATCCGTAGAATATAGTCAGAAGTATGTAATTTATTAGAAAAACGTAAAGGCAGCTACAATTCTAGCTTAAATTGTGAATATGGAGGGTAAATCGCCATTTTTCTCAGAAATTTTCAGGATCACGATTTTCAAATTTTCAATTGATTGATCATTTTTCTAGGCTCATTCGAGTTCTAGTCGATTACCCAAGTCACTGGTTACACCACTAACATCGATAAATGTGATCCCTTTAAAAACTTTGAAAGACTCGATTTATTAGATTTATCGTCATTTTGGTCCCGGTAATCGAGTCAGAAAATTTGGGCAATTCCCACCACTATTTCATGGTGACCATTTTTCTTTTCTATTTACCACTGTGTGTCTGATTTTCTTAAATTAACAGTTCCTAAAGGATTGGTATCGAAATGGTGAACTGAATTCACATTGTTTTTCTCTCAAACCAATTATTGAAAACATTCTGTAAAAAAAAACACAGTCCTTTCTCACACCGGAATAGCCTGACAACGGTAAACAAGTCAGATACCGTTGCCACAAATGGCGAAACACAACCATCGCTTCAACTCTTCAATCACTTGGTTTTCGTTTCATGGGACATTATGGTCGGTAATTTTGTGCATGTATTATGCTCTTGTGGTGATGTATCATATGAAATCTCAATTCCGATCATATTGGGTCGTGAATCGCTGCAATATAGCGTCTTCGGTATCGTCAATGACACACTATTTCTAGACAATGTATGGCAATTTTAGTTACAGGATAATATATCACAGAGTGTCTCAAAAAATGTTACAAGAACAAAACTATGAATGTTTTAGGCATTTATCCTAGAATATAAATGAATACTTAAAGAACAGGCTCTCTCGATTAATGGGACACCAGTGTGTCTAGAAATAGCATAACATTTTCTTAGCCCTCTCAATGATATAGTTATACAAAGGAAAGTTTGGTTCATTTCACAAAAAGTATTCAAAAAATTAGAACAAAACCCAAAAATAGAAAAAAAATTAAAGTTAACCTTTTATTTTATTGACAAAATGTTTTTTTTAATAAACCAAACTTTCCTCTGTACAATTACAATACTGAGAGATCTAAACATGTTGTGTATATGTTATTGTTATGTCATTTTGTTCCAATGAGGTTCGGATAGATGTTTCATATCATTCCGAACATATGATACTGAGAACAAAAGAAGTGTCTGATGTTTTTTTAAAACAACATAGAGAAAAGTATATATCTTTTTGGAAATTAAAGCATTGCCATTCAAAAATTGATCATTGAATTGAGAATGTGTAAAATTTTCAGAATTTTTGATGGCTGGATTAACAGAAAAATGTGTTTAATTAAGTTTGCCATATTGATACCAATCCTGTAATGAATGTAAGATGGTAACTTTATTTTCACTTGCCCTGTATTAATTATGTTTTATTCTTTGTTTTATTTTTACTTTATTTCTAGATTATGGCATCAACTGACTCTGGAGCTACAGGAATTTGTAAAAAATCCTTACTTTGACAAAGGGACTGGACTGATAGAGGTAAATATTTCACATATTTGATAATTTGACAGCTTAAAGGACAAATGAAATAGCTTTTCTCAACTTGCAGCTACAAAAATGCGGTTTTCTCCATTGTAAACCCAACGTAGAGTTCTTGGGATAGCCATTATAAAATAAATGTTAGATAACTGCTAACGGTCATAGATAACGAAATAAAACTAACTGATCCATCAAATTGGCCCCCACGTGATTAGTAACGTCATATACAAAATACGGCGTTGGTTTATTGGTTCCTTAGTAATCACAACGTCACGGCAACCATATGATTGTTGTGTAAACAAATAACAAAACATTTTGGCATTATGATGTCATGATCTAATGCACCAAAACGAGCCACGTGGGGACCAGTGACAGATCACGTGAGAAAACATGTTATTTAATGAAAATGTTCATTGTGTTTCAGTTATATGAGCATTTCCTGGCTGACTTTGAGCACAGAATCAACCCATTGTCCCTTGTAGAAATACTCATGTACGTCATAAAACAAATACAAGGTAAGATCTTTTTGATTTTCTTCAAATTTTTATTTGAGTTATAAATATCTATAAAACAATTAACATTTATTTGACAAAAAAACAATTAATATGTTTAACAAAGCAAAGGCTAGGGTAAATAAATACATGTTAAACATACTAAATTAAATGAATACATGTAGTTATGTACAGTTTAGCATCTTTTCTGTTTTAAACTACAGTAAAAAATTTTAAAAATCTACAGCAGAAACTCAACAATTATTCAAGCATATTTTTATAAAATTTGGCAGTGTATTTATTTGATTTCCTTCAACAGGAATAAAATCTGATAAATGCTGATATAGTAAGAAACTAGGTCAATATTTGAAGCTTATATCTCAAAATGCAATTATTGACAATTCTGAATAACCATCCCCCTGAAATGTAACTAAACATTCATTAATTTTTCTCCAAGTATGTTTCCCAACAAGACATATTGGAATTTTACCTCCTTCCCAAAACACACAATTTATTATGTGTGTGTACTTTCATTAGCATATTGACCGCTCCTTTCTAAATCACAAAAATATTATATTAAAAGTAGATGTTTAAAGTTCTGAGAAATGGGTCCACTTAGGTATATCTTAGAAGTCTACACCCTCATAGCTGTCATTTATCCATCTTTAACCAAATAAATGAAGTGTTTGACTTTGACATTTTTGAAAATATATTAAGATAAAGGAACGTATTTGATAAGAAAAATGCCCTTGTTCATGTGCAAAACTGTGAGGATGCATGTGTGTATATCCTATGCAAATATATATTATTTTTAAGGAATATTTTTTAGTATTTCTGTACAACATGCAGAAATCAATGATATTTCGTCTCATTAACAAAGACGTGTTTCATAAAATCTTTTTATGCCTTATCTTGAATTAGAAAGAAAGATGTTTCTAAGTCAAAATGTTTCAGTCAGTATAATAAAGCATGTAATAAACATGGACATGTACATAAGAAGTTTATAAACATAAGAATATATGCTTGACAATATATATATACAAAATACAAAAGCACTAATATTTGGATTGGATTTCAGATAGGACATTCAGTTACAATTACAAATATTCACAACATATCTCCTACATGTGCTTTCTATCAAATGTTATTTAGATACAATTTATGATGTTACACTGTAGTGTATGCCCACTGGGTGTCAAGCAGGATGTTATGTAGGTTATCATTATCATTTGTAAAACCTTGATATATAGAAATAAATTTGAAGTATGTATAAAAAAGATCATTTGTAAGAAAATAATTTTGCTTCAAGACTGTATACTCAACCTCCCCTTGTACTTCATCTTCCCAACATGGGGAATACACAGTCTTGAGACAAGACTATGAAATAAAATTGAATTCAGTTCGCTGTATATTGAATCAGCTGTGCTTTACATAAAATTGTCTACAATTCTACTTCAAAATTATTGCACAAAGTTACTGTAATGAAAAGTGTGAAGTTATACAGTATATTGTAAATTAAAAATAAGCAAATTTTAACTTTCAGTGAATAACTTGCTGATATTTCTGGATCTATTCCATATCTCCAAAAATGTAATTGAGTGATATTTATGCCGCCACCACAAGTGGTGACATATTGTAATAGTATCCACCTTTATTGTGGATGGTGTTTGGTTGTTTATGGTAGTCAGCATCTGTAACAAATGGCAGGTGATGACATTGCACATGTTAGTGCCTTGCTTAAATATAAAACTTACATACTTTGGACATTTACCCTCAAGCCTCTCCTTAGCATGTAGTTTATTAGGTTTTTGCCACATATTGAAATATTGACTTTGTCAGCAAGTACAAATTCTAAAGTATTGTACACCCAGGGCATGATTTCGATTTCTTCTTTTGTTTTGCGTATGCGTCACTTCCAGAATTTGGTGGGTTATCTTGTCTTATCCTATTTATATTGATAAATGAACTAAAGCTCTCAGTTATATATGCATTTTGTGTAGCATTTGATGTATGGTTACCAGTGGCAGATGATGTTATCCATGGTGTAGTATTATACGATGGTATGCTTGGGGTAGTATACACTGTGGGTTGTTCATAATCATATATAGTTGTCCCTGGTATCTTTCGCGTAACTGGTCTTGATCTCTGTTGGTCAGTTTGATCGTAAACTGGTCTTGTATTCTGTATAGGTTGTCTGTTGTTCATTCTTGTAGCTGATTGTGCTCTGCTCTGTTGATCACGTTGATTTCTTGGTCCAGAATCTGATCTAGCACGTCCTGGAAGAGTGAGAATTTTGCCTTGAAATTTTTGTATCAGTTATGTTAAGAACATGGTTCATTATGGTAGGTAGTTTGGTACTCAAAGAATCTATTTAACTAAGCCCATCTATCTGTCAATGGAATTTAGAAATAGTTATATTTCAAAAATGAGCTGAATCTATTGATTTGACTTGATGACTGTCAACAGATAACGATAAATCTCAGAAGAATAGATTCTATAGATACACCAAACTTAAAATATTACATAAAAATTCTCAAAATAGATTGACCTTGTAATATAAAAAATATATTAAAATTACTGTTAGTACAGTGTTCAATTTTGAGTTTTTGTTTTAGCAATATTATGCAGGTTGCGAACAACCCAGTCATAACCTGCCATCTTAACAAGTTGAAAGACATTATATTTTTTTTATTGGTGAAGGAAGTCTAAGTAGTTTAAATAGAACTTTTGTCAAAAAGTCAAGCTGTAATGATAGGGGAGTTAAATATGATGAGTTGATGACCTCTTGAACCTTATCATATTGATATTTATGTGTAATCAGTATGGGAAACAATGGTTCAATAAGGACTTATATAGATTCTGAGAAGTCATATTTTCTCTCTAGGTAGGCTCTCACTTCAAACGTGCAAAATATTTGGTAAGATATCATATTCATCATTGGAGTCACTTACTTCTGTCTTTAGCCTTGAACTTCTCACTTTTAGTCCAATTTTCATAGTGATATCTGTTTTTGTAGAACTCCCATGGATAAACGTGTGCACGTCTTTCTCTGAAACGCCCTCTCAGCTCGATCGAAGTCCCGCCATTTTGTGTAGTCAGCAATTTTTGGAATCTATGACTTTCTCTCTGTGGGGTGCTTATTTCAACGATAACTTTACGAATAACATCGAGCTCCTCAAGTTTTTTGTATATATACAAACGCCTGCATCCCAGTGCAAATGGTTTACCATCATGATAGACAACAGTCAAAGGTGGAATGTCCTCATTTGGATTAAGATTGCCTTCAATTATGCTGTAGTAAACATCACTTAGGAGATTCCCATCAGTGAACCTTACTCCTATACTATCTTGAGTGTAGTATATCTCAGAAGGTCTCATATACTCCGTTGCATTATACGGCATTTTATTATAACAGTTGATCAGTCTTAGTTATAATATTGTGTAGTATAATAAGTTATAGTAGAGTGTCAGTAAAAGATATTTGTATTGATCAGCACGATGTTGTGTTTTTGTGTGTCGTGTTGTCTAGCTTGCGAATAATATTTCTGATCGGCTCTTGATAGTTGCAGTTGTTTTTAGTGATATCATCGATTAGATTCGAGGAGTATTAGATTATAAATCACTTCTCAGAAGTCTCACTTATCAGAAATTATGTCTACATACATAGAATTAATTTTTATTAGATTGCATGTTTGAAGAACAACGTCTATAGACTACTATTTCAATTGGGTTGTGACAATAAAACCTTAAAAAAGCAATCAAAAGACTAGGTTAGATTGACACATAACCCAATAACCATTTGCTATGCAGAGGGGACATAATATTGGTCCGAATCCCAATGGACCGAATCCCATGGGTTAGAATCCAAATGGTCCAAATCCCATTCGTCAGAATCTGAATGATTCAAATCCTATTCGTCCAAATCCCAATGGTCGGAATCCCAATCAGCCGAAAGTTTACAATTGTTGATATAAGGTATGATATTTTTCGAGGGACACAGGGAGATATGATTGAAAGACATTTTTTAATTTCAAAAAGGGGTTTTTGAAAGACTTTGTTAGACAAATCATGAATTTTTCTAAAAATTTCTAATGTTATTTAGTCAGAATTCACAGCTATCCATAAAAAATATTAACTGCAAGTATTTTTTTAAGCATTTCTCAAATCAGCATTTGAACAGTCTTTGTAAAATATCCTTGAAATATAACAAAATTAGATTCCCAGTGATAGTGTTATGCATTTTGGTAGATTTCTGCCAAAAAACAGAAAATTTAGGGTCAGTGGGGGACCCCTAAATTTTATCAAATTTTACCTAAATCTCTACACCAAAATATCTCCTTTTGAGCCACCCTAATTCCCATGATGATGATTAAGCATACATGTACGGGGGTTGATCCAAAAGTTCTCCACCGTTTTATCTAAAAAAAATAGTTCTTGGTGGATTTTGTTCATACTAGGTCAGGAGCAACATGTATATGATAGCTTGGTATTGTATTAATATCATTGAAAAAATATAATATTAACTATGACATTTGGTTACCATAGTAACAGGACAATGAGGTAGGCGAGCTGAATAAAATCACTGTTTATTACAATTTCTTTATTTTTGATTGTAGTGCATATAGGAAAAAAAGAAATGAGTTCTTTGAAAAATTGGAAATAGAGAGTCTGACTTTAAGTGACATTTTTAAAAGTAAAAGATACACTAAGATGTTTGGTCAGTATTTAATTGACATAATGCAGATCAGGAAAGACTTTATTTTTAAACAATAACTAGTTATTTTAAAATGTTCAAATGTGTCTCATAAGCCCAGATAGGGCTGGTTGTATGATATGATACAAGTGACACTTTAATAAAATAAATAAATAAATACAATTTCTTGTCAAACAATGTGGTATTATTACAGAGTTTTAACCAGGGGTTTAACATTAATGAAGACTTTTATTTGGTGCAGTATCAATGTTCATTCTCCATCAAAATAGTCCCTACCATGGGCTATGCATTTATTGCATCTTTTTATCCAATCATTGAACACATGCCGAAGTCCGAACTATTGGTGAAACCAAGACCTGACCTAGATACCACAGACTGCATTTGGGTAGAGATTAAATATAAAAATACTAAAATTTTATATGGGATTTACTACAAATCTCCAAATTTAGATAAAAATCAAGAAAAGATATTTTTTGATACCGCTGAAAACACTTTTAAGCAGGCCTCTAAATGCCAGTGTGATTACCTACTGATAAATGGGGATTTTAACTCTAAGAACAAAAAATGGTGGTCTAAGGGGCAAACTGATTCAAATGGGGAAAGACTTGATGAAATTTTGATGGAATGTAACCTTGTTCAACTTATCCATGAAGCCACAAGAATAACTAATCAATCACGATCATGTATTGACCTAGCAATAACTAATTCACCTGATCTGATAAGGGAATCTAAAGTGACTCATCCAATAGGCTGTACTGACCATTCAACATTGGAACTTACATTTCCAATGAAAATTTTAGGAACTTCTAAACATCAAAAACGTATTTGGAAGTATGACCAGTCTAACATAGAGCGAATAAACAGCCAAATATTTGACATAAACATTGAACAAAGATATAATGAATGCAATGATATTGACCAATTAACAGAAACATTTACTAGAGATGTATTTAACATCTTTGAACAAAACATTCCAAATAAAATAACTACCTTTAATTCAAAAGATCAACCTTGGATAAATAACGATATTAAACACCTGATTAGGAAAAAATCACAATTTTATGAACGGTTCAAAAATTCAAATAAGCAGATTGACCATGATAACTATAAACTTTTAGCTCAGCAAGTTAAAGATAAAATCACTGAAGCAAAAGAAAATTACCATTCCAAAATATGTGACAACCTTGAGGCAGAAAATAATGGAAACAACAAATACTGGGCAATCATTCAAAAACTTTTAAATATAAAATACTATACTGGATTTCCCTCTTTGATTTTTGGGAATCTACTTGCAACTACAAGCCTTGAAAAGGCAAATTTGTTTCTATCTTTTTTTACATCAAAATATCACACTGACCACAATTTTGACCATTCACTCCCACAATTTAATAAAAGAACCCATATCAAAATGGATAACTTAAGCACATCATCAGAAGACCTTGACCTTATTATTAAATCACTAAAAAAGAATAAAGCAGCTGGCTTAGATAATGTAACCAATGATATGATCAAATTAGCTTCCCCATCACTATCAGTTAAGCTTGCTGACCTCTTTAATCTTATCTTCAAGACTGGAGAATTTCCAACTATATGGAAGGAAGGCAACACCATCCCCATCTTCAAAAAAACCGACAGATCAGCTATTGAAAATTATAGACCTATAACTTTACTTCAAGGATTTTCAAAAATCCTGGAGACAGTTGTCCACTCTCAAATTACCGAGCATATTTTTAGAAACAAACTACTCTTTGCAAAACAATCCGGATTCTTAGCTGGTCATAATACTGAACTCCAAATTACGGCTATCATTGACTTTATTTTGAATGAATTCGAAAAAGGGAAATGTGTAAATGCCTGTTTCCTTGATATCAGTTCTGCGTTTGATTCTGTTCCGCACTCTCTACTTCTCCATAAACTAGAATCTTACGGAATTTCTGGTATGACCCTAACACTTCTTAAATCCTACCTCTCAGAAAGAAAAATCTGTGTAACAGTTGATGATGTAAAATCGAACTTTTCAAATATCGGATACATTAACACAGGAGTACCTCAGGGATCTGTCCTTGGGCCACTCCTATTTCTCATCTACATAAACGATCTTCCTGACAACCTCAGATCAGAATGTTATATTTATGCGGACGACACGTCAGCCTATGCCTCTTTCAATATCGATGATAACCAAACCTTTGACCTGCAACATGATCTGAACATAATTGAACAGTGGTCTATTAAATGGCATTTACAATTTAAAGCATCAAAAAGTGCTCACATGATATTCCAACCCAAGAATATTAATAATTTTGACATTATGCCCTTATTCTTTGAAGGTGTTGAAATCCCATACAAAACTTCCCATAAACACCTGGGATTCACTTTTGACCACCGCTTAAAATTTGATGTACATATAAGTGAACTTGCCAGCAAGGTGCAAAAACAACTCAATCCACTGAAATCACTATCTTATAAATTAAAATCTAGGCACCTTGAACTTATATATAACTCCTTTATTTTACCACACCTGGACTATTGTAGTTCAATCTATGGCTCAAGCACAGCTCAAAATTTGATAAAACTAGACAGATTGCACTATAGAGCAGCACTCAGCTGCTCTGGGGCATTACATGGATCAAGTACTCTTAAAACTCTTGATTGCCTGAAGTGGAAACCACTTGAGTCCAGAAGGAGAGACAAAAATCTCATTATTATGTTTAAAATTTGTAGAAATATGGCACCCGATTATATTGTTGAATGTTTTGACCATTATAAATCTGAGCAAAGAAGGGTTCTCAGAACCCATAGACCTTTCCAAATACCGGTTAAATCAAGTGCACGACTAATTAATGGACCAGTGCTAAGATTGATCTCTGAATGGAATAAGTTATCACTAGAAGAGAGGTCTACTCCCACCATCTCTTTGTTCAAAAGTAAAATCAAAAAGAAATCTTCAAAGTTTAATGACTTCAATACAACTTCTAAACTCAATCTTTCTCGAAAACAAGAAATTACCTTAAACAGAATTAGATGCGGACTCTATTTTGAGTCACAAAAGTTTGCTCATAATTTTCCCAACACAACTAATCTATGTGTCTGTGGTAAGAGTGCAACCCCTAAACACCTGATTCTGCAATGTAAGCGCCATTCAACACAAAGGAAAAACCTTGAAGAAACCCTTGAGCAGCAAAACCTTGAGACCCATCTCAGTGGACAAGACAAAATTGAATTTTTAATTTTCAAAAATTCATTCTCAATTCAACAAGATTCTCAACTAAAAGGAAGGTTCATTGATTTTATTCTTAGCTTAACCTAACCTATTTTATTTTGATTTACTTTTCACCATTAGGTGTAGGCTACTAGTTAGCACATTTATATGTATAACTCACTCAATTAATTAAATTAATTTAATTTATATTCATTTCAAAATGCTAGCCTGTAATGCACATTGCGCTAGGCAGCGACCTGTGTAACTCTTTTGACTGCAATATGATTGAAATAAATGTATAATGAACCGAAAAAAATGCTGAAGTCCATTCTTAGCGATTGAATACACACTGTTGGTAAAAGCTTCAATCAGCGACTCATCATCTGCAAAACGAATCCTACTACTGAGTCTCTGACATATTATTACTTTTAAGTAACCAATCAATGTTTAGCAGGACTAAGCGAGGCTTGAAATGGAACACACCTGCTCCAATCAATATGTCATACAAATGGTCTAGATGGTGACTATCTAAAATCACTTGCCATACTGCACATGGA